AGTACTGGGATTAAAGGCATGCACCACCACTGCCCTACACTCTAGGAATTCTTTTTTGACTAATTGGACTCAACTGTCCAGTTACAAAATAGGTGTGGTCATTGGTCCCTTTAACAAGCACATGTTAAATAGTATCTATTATTCTTCTCCATTAAAATTAAATTCCTTGAAGTGTCTTAAGCAGGTTTGATAATCCCTCTACCACTGAAGAACCCAGACTTTGTTGTTGTTGAGGTGGGGGGGGGGGGGGTGTCTTACTCTATTACCCAGGCTGGCCTGGACCTGAGCCTCCTCTTCAGTCTCCCTAAATGCTGGGATTACAGGTGTACCAGCAAGCCTGGTTCTAATGTAAGTACTTCATTAAGGAATGACAGAATGATGTTCTAGTATACAGACTTCTACATATTTCAGACAGCACTTGTTACAATGGATTACTAAGGAACATAAAGCTTGGCTTAATACTACATTTTAAAGTATATGGAGTGAAACTAGACACATTTACATAAAATTTGTAACATTTATTTAGGCAAAAAATCCCAATCTGTACATACAACATTAATACTTTAGTGATATTCCATTTGAATATATAGCATGATTTATGTGCAGAATACTCTTGTTCACCAGGCCTTAACTAGAATACCTTCATTCAACCCATACAATCCAGAATTGTGTCCAAAATATACACATTCAACTTCTTGATGGGTGTCTTGTTCTTTGAAAATAGTTAAACCCATCAGAGCTCAAGCAAAATATAGCTTTTCATATGCACAAGACTAGAATTTGACAGAGGAATCCTGTAAAATCAGAGATTTTCATTTTGTTATTAATTTACTTATTTTGGACTTTTCAAACAAGGTCTTTCTATATAGCCCAAGACGGCCTGAACCTCACTTAGTAGCTCGAGCTGGCCTCCAATTGAAGACCTTTCTGCTTTGCCTTCTGAGTGTAGACATAAAAAGTTGGTGATTAATTTTGTTATACCTAGCTATTTAATGTGGGGCACACATGGGGATCGGAGGACAACTTGTGGAAGTCAGTTCTCTCCTTCCACCATGGGGATTCTCACCAGACGGAACTGAGTTCAGGCTAGGCAGCAAGCCTTTTCCTACTAAGCCATCTCACTGGCCTATAAGTCAGTGACTTAAAAAAAAAGTTTCTGCAGATTATCTGAGAAATCTTGACATAACATTCAACTTTTAGAGGAAAAAAATGCTCTCAAAGATTTCCTTTTATGAAAGTATCTCAACTTTCATTATGTAAGGAACTTCTCGCTTCAAAGTTGATTTAAAAAAGATTAAAAGAGTCCAGTGTAATGGCACATGCCTTTAATCTCAGCACTTAGGAGGCAGAGGCAGGTGGATCTCTGTGAGTTCCAGGCCAGCCTAGTCTACAGAGGAAGTTTCAGGAGAGAAACCCTATCTCAAAAAATAAACATACTACCACTTGCCCACTCAAAAAAAAATCCTTAAAAGAACTCAAAGTTTTCCATAAAGTAACTCAAAGTGAAGTATTTACCATTAATGAAATAGATTTATGATTTACCACAAAATAATTTTGAGCCGGGCGGTGGTGGCGCACGCCTTTAATCCCAGCACTCGGGAGGCAGAGCCAGGCGGATCTCTGTGAGTTCGAGGCCAGCCTGGTCTCCAAAGCGAGTTCCAGGAAAGGCGCAAAGCTACACAGAGAAACCCTGTCTCGAAAAACCAAAAAAAAAAAAAAAAAATAATAATAATAATAATTTTGAAAAAAAATATAAAATTGGCTTTTCAAGACAGGGTTTCTCTGTGCAGCCCTGGCTGTCCTGGAATTCTCTCTGTAGACCAGGCTAGCCTTGAACTCAGAGATCTGCCTCCAAGTTCTGGGATTAAAATCATGTACTACCACACAATTTTTTGAGGTGGGATCTTATGTTGCCCAGGTTCATCTTAACCTCGTGACTCATTTAAGTCCTCAAATAATCCTCCTGCCTCAGCCTCCCTGGTATCTGAGAATATAGGGGTGCAGCTCAAGATGGTATGGAACTCAAGCTTTTCCTGGCTCAGCACTTCCTTGTTAAAGTAACTGCATGTGTTACCACACTGCTTGGCATATTCTTGCTCATCACTGGTCTGTCAGCTAGACTGTGCTGTTCTAAAGGGCCATCCCTTCAGCACAGTAATAAGAAACTGAATTGAGTTTTGGATAATTTTTTTTTAAAGTAGAGCAGTTGGAAAGACAAAAAAATGTTCTTTCTTAGGCTACTAGTCATCCTAGTGTCTTGGGTTAAGATTCAGAAACAAATGCATGTATCACAAAGTGTGCCACATCATGCAAAGTCCCATGAAATTTTAAGTAACACAAGCCATGACACCCCTAAAACCCGACTGCAACATTCTCTATCATACTCTTATTCCTATCACCGGTGGGTTTTACATTAGTACTAAAATGAACACTTTTGAGTTAACACTGAAAACTAAAAACGTGTCAACACACAGCAGGTGACAACTGACCACCCAACATCCACGAGCTAGTCACATGAAACCGCCGCAAGGGATTTAAGGAGGAAAGCAGGTTCGCAAACCTCTCTGGAAGCAGTCTCAGAGCAGTGCTGAAGCCCAAACATACAAACTCTCCACAAACTAATATGCAGATAAAACCGGAAGAGTCCTCATCAGCTGACAGTAGGGCACTGCCGTAACCTATGCCTTCAGCTTGTGATTAACAGAGTTTAGATCACATAAAGTCCCACAAAAACCAACTAATATAAATGTGCCATTGGAGAAGAGACAGGCTGCAGACTACCACATACAAAATTGTTCACTGGGTCACCTCTTCCCCCCCTTTAACTGAGCACTGTTTGTTACACATTGTTCTGGGCTTTGGGGAGGAGGATGCATTTACAACAAAGCCTAGCCTGGCTTCGTGCACTCCTATAATCCCAGCACTCAGAGGGTTGAGGCCAGCCTGGAATATATATCAAGTCTATCTAAAAAAGGCAAAAATTGGGGCTGGAGAGATGGCTCAGTGGTTAAGAGCACAGGCTACTCTTTGGAGGGTCTGGGCTCAATTCCCACACAGCAGCTCACAACTATCTGTAACTCCAGTTCCAGAGAGCTAACGCCATCACATAGACCTACATACAGGAAAAACACCAAATGCACATAAAATAAACAAACCATTTTTTTAAAAGGCAAAAATAGTTGAGGATGGTGGCCCATGCCTGTAATCCCAGCCCCTAGCATGAGGATGCAGAGTTCAAAGTCATCCTCAGACACATAGTGAGTCTGAGACCAGCTTGGGCTACATAAGATCCTGTCTCAAATAACAAAATGAAGCAAAAACAAAAACTGAGCCACATTTACTGTTCATTAATTCACCCCAACTTGGCACATTCAATGTTTTCAATAACATGTACCAAAGGGGGAAAGTATGGCTGAAGGGCATCAAAGATAGACCAATGTTACCTTTATTTATTTTTTATTTTTCTGTGCATTGGTGTTTTTACCATGGGTGTCGGGTCCCCTGAAACTGGAGTTAGACAGGTGTGAGCTGCCATGTGGTGCTGGGAATTGAACCTAGGTCCTCTGGAAGAGCAGCCAGTGCTCTTAACCCCCCCCCCCCCCCCCCCCCCCCCCCCCCCGAGCCATCTCTCAAGCCCTGACCAGTGTTATCTTAACACAACAATCACACTGAAGTGACTAAGCAGCCAGGCAAGTGGTGTGCTTGGGGCACACAGGCAGGACGGCTGAGTTCTAAGCTAGCTCTGGTTTTATGAGACAAAACAAAGAAAAAAAAAAAAAAAACAACCCAAAAAATTGACTAGAAAGACCAGGCCAGCATAAAAGGACTCATTTGTAAAAGAAACTTCATTAACTGGATTTATATGATTGTTGTAATTTTTGTTTTGTTTTTGACACAAGATCCCATTATATAGCCCTGGCTCTCCTGGAACTATGTAGACTAACCTTGAACTCAGAGATCCACCTGCCTCTGCTTCTGCCTACCAAGTGCTGGATTAAAGGCATGTACCATCAAGCATGACTGGTTGGTGGTTTTAAACATGGACCTTTGATTCTTTAGAAACAAAAAATACAGATGCAAACTCCCAAGGCAGTCTTCATCCTCACCTGGGTGAACCCTCCTGCCCAGGCTAAGAAGCAGCAACAATTATGGTCAACTCCGGAACTTGTGGGTCTGATAGGACTCTTTTTTAAACCCTCAGTTAAGATCAGAAGTCACTGTGTCCATCCCCTATTACTTCTTGATGTATGGTTTTATTGATAATAAAAAACACTTAATATCCTTTTCTCTTTTTCTGATAGTAGGAATTGAACTCAGAGCCACTCACTCTAGTACTGAGCTGAGTTACACTCTTGACCCAGAAGGAAAAAAAAAATTCAGAGTATAAAGACCATAGCAAAACTTTCTCAATGCACAAACACCAGATGCTTTGATTTGCTATACTTTGCTTTATTAGATTACAATCTTACAAAGTCTAATTCCATTTCCTTTCTGGGAGGGGTGCTGGGGCTGGCCCTGGGACCTTGTGCATGCATTTCCTTCAGCAGATCCAAGTGTTGCTATTGCTGGCCCAATGGCTTGTGTCTGAGTACATTGATGAGTTCAACAAGGTCATTCAGCTTAGTCTAAACTGTGCTTAAAAGCACATCACTAAGCCAATGACTTTGGAGGTATCAAGCACTTACATTATGGTCTCTAATTACAAAGGGGAGGTCTGTAGAGACTGGCTGGACATACCACACATGTATTTACCATATTTTAGCTATATTCAGGACTTTATTGAAAATTCTGTCTTGATGGCTTTCAGATCCATCCCAGAGCCAGACATAGTAGCACATGCCTGGAACCTTATCACTTACTCTGAACTGTCAACTGAGTAGGATCAAAGTAGACTACAGCCTTAGGTCTACACTTAGTGAGACTCTATCTCAAAAAAAAAAAAAATAAATACCACCCCCTAACACACAAAAATCAAAACCACAGAGGCACTAACAACTTGATACATTTGTGATGTGATCATTTTTTATTTAAGTTTTACAATGTAGCCCTGATGGCCTGCAAAATATAAATTGAAATCTTTTTGAATCTTCATGTATCAGATTATTCTGAAGAATTTTATAATTTTTTGACCATTTCTTGTTCTGCTTCTTGAGACAGGGTTCTGAATTTGCTATGTGGTTGGTGATATTGGGACTACAGGTGTGTACCACAACACCTGGCTTTATTTTTCTAACGATTTGTAAAAGCAGAAAGTTTAAGTAGTAGCTTACAGGAACATGCACTTTTGTCCTGACACTGGAAGTCAAAGTTCTCCAACAGTCTTCCCCAAAGTAGAATAGGTAGACCTGGCTGGTCAACACCACCAACTTGCAAGCTACTGCAGACTATTCTATTGTCAGAATTTTAATTTTAGACATTAAAATTGAGGGTGAAATGTCAACAAAAAGCAAAAACTCCTTTGAAAGAATTTTCTTTCCTCTGAAATAAGCACAACTATGAAAAATCCATCTTTTTGTGGTGGAGGCTGTTGAGACCAGCATCAATAGGTAGTCCAGGCTAGCCTCAAACTTTCAACAATCCTGCCTCTCCAGTGGCAGATCATGTTTGAGGAACCAATGAAGGTGAAAATGTATCTTATGGCTCTAAAAATCCCTTGAAATCAATGAAGTGAGAATTCAACCATTGTTTTATATGGCCTTTTGATAATTCTATGTATCTATTTTCTTTCAGTTTGATTCTGTATTCATTCCTACGAAGGAAGCCCAAAACACTCAAGTCTGAAGTCTGTGGCAGCAGTATGAAACATGAGTCAGCCATGTTAAAAGCATACTAATAAATCAATCAGCTTGTTGGTTTCCTATAGACAGGGACTCTCACGTAGCCCAGGCTGGCTTCGAATTCAGTCTTCTCCCTTCATTTTCCACACACTAGGATTATAGGTGTATGCCCCATGCCCAGCTTAAACTAGCTCCTTTCTAAACTGAAATATTTCTGACTTATTTAAAAATATCATTTTAAAACTCTATTGAAAACATTTTAGATGTGTATGAATAAAATGTGGTCAGATGAGATTTCAGATTAAACCTATTCACAAAACGATTTTGTTACTGTACCTGTTGAATGGGTCTTGTTATCTAGCCCATGTTGGCCTTGAATGCCACCTGCTCCTTAATGTTTTGGATTAAGGGCAAGTGCCTTACCAAGCCTCCTTAAAATAAAAATTTTGTTCTGTTTTGTGAGAAAGGATTTCCCTGTATAGTTCAGACTGGCTTACAGCTCTGTAGCCTAAGCTCACCTCCAACATGTAATCCCTTCTGTCTCACCCTTGTGATGAATGGACTATAGGTCTCAACTATTCCCAGCTTAAAATGAAAATGGAAATGGAAATGAAGTTTGTTGATAACATGATACCTCCCAGGGTCATAGGACAATAACTGATTCTTCACTGTATCAATTATCTTAAAGGAAAGGCAACTGTCTAAAAAAAGTCCATCAAAAACATTTCCTTTTACCTGGTCAGCTACATATTTAATCATTTAGCAGCAGCCTATTCTTCTCTTGCATGTTTGGACGTGGGATGTGGACATCCTTTTCTAACATGAACACATAATGAAGATATACTAAAGGTCACTCTAACACAGGTTGGCCTCAGACTCACGGCACCCTCCTGCCTCGTCTCCTGAGTGATAAGAGTACAGGAATGAGCCATTTATGCTGACAGATATCTGCATGTTATAAGAAAAAATTAACATTTTTGTGTGTGGTGCTGGGTATTGAATCCATACATGCTAAGAACACTCTCTACCACTGAGCCACAGCGCAGCTCAAGATTAAATTTTTATAGCAAATTTTCTGTTGTCAATTTGTATTTTAACTAAGCAAATTAACTCTGTGAGTAGTCTCTACTCCACTGAGTAAGAATGACTTTGGGAAAGAAGGGGTAAAAATAGCCAGTTTTAACCAACGACATTTAAAAAACTGCACTCTTTTACAACATAACAGACAGTGTCTCAGAGAGGCTTTGACACAGGATACTGTGGTAACTGGGGAGTATCTCTAGAGTAACCTGCAGAAACAGTCCCTGCTTCCAGTGTTCAGCATGGAGAACAGCTCCTGCTCCCGGCCTTGGTAGAGGGAGACAAGGAGAACCTGTCCCATTCTCAGAGCTATACCATAAAAGCAATGTCTAACTCCTTTCAACTCTGTTCTTCGTCTAAGACTTTTCTTTTGTATTTCTTTGACTGCTATCCAGGCTCCAAACAGCCAAGAGCTTCCAGAGACACAATGGATTTCCACTCACACAAAGAAGCGCATCTTGTGAGAGATACACAGAGAATGAGGGCATTTTTACAGAAGTAGTATAAAACTTACAACCGAAGCAGAGCCGATGTCACATCAGCAGCCCCGCCCACACTGCAAATGACCTGGCTGCAAATGACCTGGAAGGGACTCTAGACAAGTCTGGCATAAGGGTTCGTGCAATTTATCATAAAACTGTAGCATCTCAAGCACAGGTTAAGTTCAAACACTGAAAGATTTCCTAAAAGACAAGAATGAAGGAAGACCTTTCTTGCTTCATAAGTTAAAAATCACAAGACAAATCAGACTGTTCACATGGGCAGTACTGTACATTACCAATCCCAAATGGATCACAGGACTACACACACACACACACACACACACACACACACACACACACACACACACACACACACACACACGGGCAGTACTGTACATTACCAATCCCAAATGGATCACAGGACTCTTCACACACACACACACACACACACACACACACACACACACACACACACACACACACACACACACCCACACCACACCCCAACACCAGAGAGCATATTATTCCAAATGAACTAACCACAAAAATGATTCCTGTTGTTCATTATCCAACTATCTATGGCTATCAATTTAGTCGGGCCTGGGGCTGCTTTTTACAGGGAGGGGGCCTCCCATGGCGCACAATGTGTTTTTCTAAACTGTCCAGAATGGCTACAGCAATCTGCTGGACATAGGGGTCTGTCTGTTCATGTTCTTTGATGTTGTACAAATGCTGTAGTCCTCCTTCTTCAATCAGCATGCTGCAGTATCTTGAAGCTGAAAGAAAAATACAAGAACATTTCTCTTAAGGTATTTATGCATTTTGAAGTTATCCCACAAACAAAACAAGTTCTTTAGAGCTTACAACAAAACAAATGCATCAAAGGCCAGGCATGGTGGTATATGGAGCAAATCTACACAGTAAAGATCCTGCCTAAAAACACAAAAACAACAAAAAAACCCCGCACAAATCAGGTGTCCTCCTCTATCAATCTTCACTTCATTCCCTTGAATTTAGGAAATCTTAAAAAAAAAATTCTTATTTTATATGTATGGGTGTTTTGTCTGCATGTATGTCTGTGTACCTCTTGCATGCCAGGGCCCAGAGAAAGCCAGGAAAAGGTATCAAATGCCCTGGAACTGGAGTTATAGGTGGTCGAGTCACCTTGTGGGTGCTGGGAATCTTAAACTCAGATCCTTTATGGAAGAGCAGCTGGCGCTCTTAACTGCTGAGCTATCTCTTTAGCCCAGCTCTTTCTTTCTTTTTGGTTTTTCCAGGCAAGGTTTCTCTGTGTAGCTTTGGAGCCTGTCCTGGAACTCACTCTGTAGACCAGACTGGGCTTCAACTCAAAGAGATCTGTCTGCCTCTGCCTCCTAAGTGATAGGATGAAAGGCGTGCACCACCACCCTCTGGCTGCCCAGCTATTTTTTAAGTGTGCCTATTTTTCTTTCTCTTTCTCTCCCTCTTTCTTTCTGATTTGCTTTTCTTGTAAGACAGGGTCTTCTTATGCAGGCAAGACTGGCTTTAAACTTTTTTGACCCATTTCAACTTCTTGAGTGTTGAAACAAAGGTGTGCCACCAAACACACCTACCAAGCTCTCTGGAAGAATTCACTGAATTCATAATCTAATCTCTTACTCTGTATTTTAAAAGTGTCTTGGGGCTAGGAAGATGGCTCAGTGGGTACAAGGGTTTGCTGTCCAAGCATAAGAGCCTGAGTTCTAATCCTAGAACTGCACAAAAAGCCAGGCATGGCCATGTGTGCCTGTAACTCCAGCTTTTGGGATGGAGACAGGCAGGTCCCACAAAATCCCTGGCCAGCCAACCTACCCAAAACAGCCAACTCCTGGTTCAGTGAGAGCAAGGCAGAAGGCAAAAGAGGAAGACACCATGTCCTCCTCTGGCCTTTGAATGTGTATGCATGGGTGCGTATACCCACAAAAGCATGTGCACCCCGCCCCCACACAAGTAAATCAGTGCAGCCAGTGGTCATGGCACACCCCTTTAATCCCAGCACTTGGGAGGCAAAGACAGGTGGATCTCTGTCAGTTCAAGGCCAGCCTGGGCTACACAGTGAGACTTATGTTAAACAAATAAACAAAACAAAAGGCAGTGCAATATTACTTTAAAAATGACTAAAAATGACTTTTGAGGCCAGGCGGTGGTGGCGGCGCATGCCTTTAATCCCAGCAATTGGGAGGCAGAGCCAGGTAGATCTCTGTGAGTTCGAGGCCAGCCTGGTCTACAGAGAGAGATCCAGAACAGGCACCAAAACAGAGAGAAACCTTGTCTTGAAAAAAAACAAAACAAAACAAAACAAAAACCAAATAACTTTGGAGCTGTGTGTGGTGGCGCACACCTTTAGCCTCAGCACTAAGGTAGAGGCAGGCAGATCTACATGAGTTCGAGGCCAGCCTGGTGTACAGAGCAAGTTCCAGGACAGTCAGGGCTACACAGAGAAACCCTGTCTGTCTTGAAAAACAAAACAAAACAAAACAAATGGCTTTCGGGAGGCTGGGAAGATGGTTCAGCAGTTAAGAGCACCACTGTCTGTAATTCCAGTTCCAGGGAATCGGATTGCATGTAGGTGGTGTACAAACATACATGCAGGCAAAACACCCATACCCATAAAATAAAAATTAAATAAAAAAGGGTGGGCTTTATGGAACTGGGTATGGCAGTGGCTTTTTGAATTCCAGCATTTGGGAAGCAAGTGAATCTCTATGAGCTGGAGGCTAGCCTGGTCTAAATAATAAGTTCTAGGCCAAACAAGCCAGGGTTACATAGTGAGACCCTGTCTCAAACAAACGAGCTTAGGGTTGAAGAGATGGCTCAGCTGTAATGGTTACTTGTTATTCTTACAGAGGACCTGGGCTCAGCTCCCAGCACCCACATCCCTAACTGCAGTTCTAGGGGGTAGGATGCCCTCTTCTGGACTCAGCAGGCACCAAGGCAAGAACATCTCCAAGTTGGGGGCTAGTCTGGTCTACAGATTTCCAGGACTGATGGGAAACACAGAGAAACCTTGTCTTGAAAGAAAAAAAAAGAAGCTGGGCTGTGGTGGTGCACACCTTTAATCCCAGAACTTGGGAGGCAGAGGCAAGCAGATCCCTGTGAGTTCGAGGCCAGCCTGGTCTACAGAGTGAGATCTAGGACAGGCTCCAAAGCTACAGAGAAACCCTGTCTCGAAAAAACATAATACAAAAAACCAAAACAAACAAACAAACAAACAAACAAAAAACCCAAAACAACAACAACAACAAAAAAACCTCTTAAAAACAAAACAAAAACCCCATGGCTTTCTGGGCTGAAGATATATGTTAGAGAAGAGTCTTGTCTAGCATGTTCTAGGCATGGTGGTATATATCCACCTCACCACTCAAAAAGTTGAGACAAGCCGGGCGGTGGTGGCGCACACCTTTAATCCCAGCACTCGGGAGGCAGAGCCAGGTGGATCTCTGTGAGTTCGAGGCCAGCCTGGTCTACAGAGGGAGATCCAGGAAAGGCGCAAAGCTACACAGAGAAACCCTGTCTCGAAAAACCAAAAAAAAAAAAAAAAAAAAAAAAAAAAAAAAAAAAAAAAAAAAAAAAAGTTGAGACAAGAGGACTCCTGAGAGTTTATGGCTAGCCTGGGCTACATAGTGAGTTCTATGCTAGCTTGCCAGGACTATATAGGAAAAAATCAACAACCCTTAACCCCCTCCCCAAAATGATTTTCTGTAAAGGAGAATTTCGCTTGAACATAGTTCTAATTTTGGTACATACGATTCTTGCTGCAAACGTGTTGCATGGCCCAAACTGCCCACAGCTGGACTCCTGGTGTCGTAAAACAGCCAAGTAGTGGGAAAAATGGATTAAAGGATCTAAAGGTTCAAAATAAAAGAATCAAAGTCACATTTCATATAAAGTATCATTTTCTAAGTAGTGATTCTTATATCTTTAAGAAGACACATGCCATTTCTAGACTGATATAAGACACCATGGTACAGAAAAAGTATTTAACATACTGTACTAAGGGGTGTGTGTGTGTGTATCTTTCAAAAACTTCTGGGTTGTTTTGTTTTCCCTTTTTGGTCTTCCCCCTTAGGAAAATACACTTTACACTTTAAAATTAGTTAGAAGAAGACAGGTGTGGTGGCTCACACCTTTAATTGGGCGGCAGAGGTAGTTGGATCTCTGTGAGTTTGAAGCCAGCCTGGTTTACAGACTGAGTTCCAGGACAGCCAGGGTGATTTAAAAAAAAAAAAAAAAAGGTGGGGGAGGAGGCAGAAGAGGTAAAAGGCTACCACATAGTAATAGAGAGCCATTCACCAAGGAGACAACAAACATACACACATATGCACCAAAGGCAGCTGGGCTGCTAGCTTCAGAAAACAACACAGCCTGAGCTACGCAAGACCATGTGAGAGGTCTTAAAAGAATAACCTAACGGTGTATCTTAAGGTCTTAGAAAAACAGGCAAACCCCAAAGCAGTGCATGACAAGAGACAATAAATAGGATAAAAGTTATGAACATGGGGACCAAAAACAATGCACACAATCAGTCAAATAAGGAGTTGCTCCTTAGAAAAAATGAAATTGGAGGTTCACTTAGTCACACTAACCAAAAGACTGAAGTTAATACAATTAGAGATTTTAAACATGTTACAACAGATTACAATGAAGTCCAGAGGATTATTAGAGAATATTTTCAAAACTAATATTCCAGAAAATGGATTAAAATTCTAAATGACCTACTAAAATTAATCCAAGAAGACATACACAACCTAAAACAAATCCATCACAAGCAAAAAACCAAAAAACTGAAAGTCGTCTCGAAGGTGGAGGGAAGCCAGGAATGGCGGTAACCTTTAATCCCAATACTCAGGAAGCAGACAGATCTTAGTGAGCTACAGTTTTGGGCCAGCCAGGGCTATGCAGCCAGGCCTGTCTCAAAAAATTAAAAAAAAAAACAAAAAAACAACCAAAAACCAACCAACTGCCAAAACAAACAAAAGGCCAAAAGTGAATTAAATTATTTTTTTTATTTTTTTATTTTTTTTTTGGTTTTTCAAGACAGGGTTTCTCTGTGTAGCTTTGCGCCTTTCCTGGATCTCGCTCTGAAGACCAGGCTGGCCTTGAACTCACAAAGATCTGCCTGGCTCTGCCTCCCAAGTGCTGGGATTAAAGGCGTGTGCCACCACCACCTGTGAATTAAATTCTTACAAAGCAAATTCAAGAACACATTTAGAAGATTATGTATCACAACCAAGCTAATCATTCCAGGGATTCAGGATAGCTCAACATATGCACACCAGTAAATTTTATACAGCACATAAACAGACTCGAGGACAGAAATAATGATCATCTCAATCACCAAAGGCCTTTTACAAAGTTCAGCTTTCATTATAAAAGTCTGAGGAAATTAGCCTGATACAACAGGCCCAAGTAGGCTCACACTATACACCAAATGGCAAAATAAATAAAGAAATAATTTCATTTGAAACCAGACTGAGACAAGGGTGTCTTTCTCCACTGTTACTTAACTTAGGATTCATGTTTTAGCTAGAGAACAAAAGAATGCAATAAAGAAAAAGGAGGGTTATTACTATTTACAGATAATTCTTAGTTCTGTCAAATATTTCCAGCAAAGGAGCAGCATACAAAACCAACATCTCCAAATCAGTAGCCTTTTTATATAGGAGTAGCAAATTTGCTGAAAAATAATTCAAGGAAGAAAATTCCATGCAGAATAGCTTCATAAAAAATAAAATGTCCAGAAATAACCCGAGCCAGGGAACTGAAAACTTCTAGAATGAAGACCTGAAGACACCAGGAAGGAAATTGAAGAAGACACTGAAAGATGCAAAGACCTCTAAGCTCATGGGTTGGTGTAATTAATGGTGTGAAAATGGTCACGTGACTGAAAGCAACCTACAGATTCCATGCAACCTCCATGAAAATCCAAGACATTCTTCACAGAACTAAAAATATTACCCTAAAGTTATGAAAACACACAAGCAGCCACAGAGTTAAACATAGAGGTCAGGCAGTGGTGGCACACAGCTTTAATTCTAGCACTCAGGAGGCAGAGATCCCTCTGATCTCTTTGAGTTGAAGGCCACACTGGGCTACATGAGATTGTTCCAGTATAGGAGAGAAAGAGAGCCAGGCAGTGGTGGCACACACCTTTAACATCAGTACTTGGGAGGCACACACACCTTTAATCCCAGCACTAGGAAGGTTGAGATAGGAAGTGAAATGGCTAGGCGGAGAAAGGCATGTAAGACCGGAGGAGACAGGAACTAGAGAGCCTTTCAGCTAAGGACTCAGAGGCATTCAGTCTGAGGATTCATGAAGACAGGATCTTCTCTTTTCAGCTAAAGAGTTGGCAAAGTGAGAAGTGGCTGTGGCTTGTTCGTTTCTTTGATCTTTCAGCATTTACTCCAATATATGGCTCTGGATTTTTATTATAAGACCATTTAGGATTCGTGCAACATCTGGTGTCTGACTTTTGGGGCACAAATTCATGAAAAAGCCGCTCGCTTGTGGCTTTGCAGCCACAGGCTGAGGCCAGAGCTACACGTGACCAGAGTCTCCACCCCGCCTGGGCCAGAGTCCTTGCCTGCTGGCTAAGTTTTTGTTGCAGTCTCTCTGCAGCAAACTTCATAGGTTATTGGGCTCCAAAAGCCACAGGAGTTAGCTGCTTTCACACAGTTCCCCATGCAGACAGCTGACTCCACAGGAGCAGGTCCAAGGCCAGGCTTAGGCTCCAAACATGACGGACTTAGCTGCTTTCCCGCATGCAGAATGCTGGCTCTTTGGCTTCCCCCTCTCCTGGTGGGTTGTGGCTTTCTCTAGAACCCCTCCTTGGACTGCAGCCACACTGTCATTGTCAGCAGACTTGGTGAATCAATTGGGATTTCCAATTGGGATTTCTTTTTGTTTTGTTTTGTTTTGTTTTAGACAGGGTTTCTCTGTGTAGCTTTGTGCCTGCCTCTGCCTCCCGAGTGCTGTGATTAAAGGCATGTGCCATCACCGCCCAGCTCAATTGGGATTTTTTTTGTTTTTTGTTTTTTTTGAGACAGGGTTTCTCTGTGTAGCTTTGTGCCTTTCCTGGATCTCGCTCTGTAGACCAGGCTGGCCTCAAACTCACAAAGATCCGCCTGCCTCTGCCTTTCAAATGCTGGGATTAAAGGCGTGCACCACCACCGCCGGCTCAATTGGGATTTCTTAAAGGAGAAATTAGTTAAAAGAGAGGATTTTTTCCCCCCCACAAAAAAAAAAAAAAAAAAAAAAAAAAGGGAAACACTATTACAATGGAAGGAGTCTGGACTCTGACTATAAGCTAGATGGTTTAAAAATGGAACAATTAAATGAGAGGATAATTAAAGTTGATGGGATTTATGTAATGTCAATTATAAATATTTGTTTGATCATTTCTACTTTATCATTAAAAAAGTTGGTTAATATGAGTACCAAGATAAAAGTTTTTTTTTTTTTTTTTTGGCTTTTCAAGACAGGGTTTCTCTGTGTAGCTTTGCGCCTTTCCTGGAACTTGGAGACCAGGCTGGCCTCGAACTCAGAGATCCGCCTGGCTCTGCCTCCCGAGTGCTGGGATTAAAGGCGCGCGCCACCACCGCCCGGCAAGATAAAAGTTTTAGAAAAACTTGTTAAAATAGATTATAGAGATATTCAGACCCCAGACAGAGGAATTTAAAGGAGAACCAATTTCAACATTGCATCATAAGGTTACAGAGAAACAGCCTAAGGCTTTTAAACAGCCAACCTTAATTTATCCAGTAACCTTATAGGAACTACCAATGATAGATATCCCTAAGACTGTGTAAGAGCTGATTGAACTCTTATGCAAATGTTAGATTTGAGAAGATTCAAAAAAGCTATAGTGTCATATGGCATGCATTCCCCATTTGTGAAGCAGATGTTAAACTCATGGTCAACTTGTAATAGAATTAATTATCCCTCAAGACTGGAGAGATTTGGTTATAGCAGTCTTAGAGGCTGGTCCCCAATTACACTGGAGGACCTGGTGGAAAGATGAGGCTAAGACCACTGAACAACAAAGTACAGCTGGAGGTCTTGAAACCTCCCAAGATCAACTTTTTGGGGAGGGCAATTATGCTGATGTACAAAGACAATCTTTATATGATGATTACGCCCTGGCTTTATGCCGCATGGCAGCCTTGAATGCTTGGGACACAACTGAAGAAGTAGGAAAAAAATTGAGTCATTTACTAAAGGTATACATGGCCCAAAAGAAACCTTCACTAATTTCTTACAAAGATTGACTTCAGCAGTAAATAGAATGATATCAAATTCAGAAGCTAGACAAATAATAATTGAATCTCTGGGTTTTGAAAATGCTAATGCACAATGTAAAAGGGTAATTAGGCCGTTAAAAGCAAGATCCTTGGAGGAATGGATCTGAGATGCAATCAATATTGAATCTCATGATCATGACTACGCTTGGATAGGAGAGGTGATTTCCAGAGGTTTGAAGAAAAATAGTAATGTCAGGTGTTTCAATTGTGGTAAACAAGGTCACCTAAAAAGGGACTGTAAACAGGACATTCCGAGAAACAGTATTTTTTCAAGAAATAATCCCAAAAGAATACCCCTCCCTTCTGGATTATGCAGAAGGTATGGCAAAGGAAGACATTGGACTAATGAATGTAGATCAACAAGGGACAGACAAGGTAATCCCTTGCCTTTGCCATCAGGAAACGCTCTGAGGGGCCTCTCTCAGGCCCCCATATCAAATTTAGTCCTTTCCTGTAATTGTGGAGGAAACTCCTTCCCAGAGCAATTAAAGAACCTAATGCCTAGTGTAAAAAACCATACTGCTCTGGATGATATAACAGCTATAGAAGAGAGAACAAAAAAATCAGGAGAAACTATAAATCAAAATTGATAAAGATTAGATTGGGAACTTCCCCAAAGTTAGGGTTGGGGAAGGGTTTTGTTTTTGTCTTTCAGGAGAATGAAGGCTAAGGAATCTGAAGAACACTGGATAAATGAGACATCTGAAGAAAAAAGGACAAATCATCCAGAAAAAAATGTCCCGTGAAAAAGATTTTATGCAGTGAACCATGACCATGCCTAACAGCGACCTTTGAAGTCTCCAAAAAGATGATGAGACCCTTTGAAGTCTACAAGAAGATGATTGGACTCCATAACACTGATTCCACATGGACTATGATTAACACCAGTAAGCTGACAAACACCACCCAAAGAGTGGCTTTGGACTACAAACTGCTCAGGACAATTTCAAGGTGGCTGACTGAGATGATCCAGCCTCACAGACTACTCTAGCCAGGACTTGAGACAAGCCCTGCACTTTCTCATTATACAGAGACTGGACAACAAACGATACAGCTACCTCTCTCCCAGGTTAATTTGACAATTAACCCAAATTTTTCCTTTTCAGGATCCCCAAAAGATGTCATCACCCCCAGATAGCAGGAAGCAAACTTAAGAACACGATGCCCACATTCCCAAGAGGTGGGGCGGGTGGTTTTTGGTTGATGAATGGGTTATGGATATTTGCCATTGTTTTGGTGGTTGGTTACAAGTTGTTATTGGTAATGGTCAGGAAAAAAGTTGTACGAAGGAGATTAGATTCAGGATTCTTGTTTGAAAAGAAAAAAAGAAAAAGAAAAAAAGATATAGATATGATAAGAAAAAAGGTAGATTATTGAATCTATTCTGAAAAAAAAAAAGATATAGAAATGATAGGATAAAAAGGTAGATTATTGGGGTTGGAGAGATGGCTCAGAGGTTAAGAGCACCAGCTGCTCTTCCAGAGGTCCTGAGTTCAATTCCCAGCACCCACATGGTGGCTCACAAACATCTGTAATGAGATCTGGCACCCTCCTCTGTGTACATAATAAATAAATAAATCTTAAAAAAAAAACTTCTTTAAAAAAAAGGTAGACTGTTTAATTTACTCTGAAAAGAAAAAAAGGGAATATAGATGTAAGATAAAAAGGTAGATTATTTTTTTAACTACTATTTCAACTCTTTTTTTTAATTTTTATTTTTACTTTTTTTTGTTTTAATGTGCATTAGTGTTTTGCCTCCAAGTGTATCTGTGTGAGGGTGTCAGGTCCCCTGGAACTGGAGTTACAGACAGTTGTGAGCTGCCAGGTGGGTGCTGGGAATTGAACCCAGGTCCTCTGGAAGAGCAGCCAGTGCTCTTACCACTGAGCCCTCTCTCCAGCCCAAAAAAAGGGTAGATTATTGAATCTACTTTTTTTTTTTTTTTTTTTTTTTTTTTTTTTGGTTTTTTGGAGACAGGGTTTCTCTGTGTAGTTTTGCGCCTGTCCTGGAACTCACTTGGTAGCCCAGGCTGGCCTCGAACTCACAGAGATCCGCCTGGCTCTGCCTCCCGAGTGCTGGGATTAAAGGCGTGTGCCACCACCGCCCGGCTGAATCTACTTTTAAAAAGCAACTACTAGTTTTAAATATTTTACATTGGATTGAATTTTTGTATACTGTATACAAATTGTGTATACTGATACAAATTTGAGATTAATTTTGTTAGAATATACTGTATATACATTTCTACTCTTGTTCAAGGTATTATAACTATACAGCTTATTTAACAATGTAATGCAATTTTCTAGTCCTTGAAAGTTATTACCAACTATTTAGGATAATAAAGAAATACAAGTTAGTAGTTATTCATTACAATCAAACTTAGGTACCTGTTTTCAGGGTCAAATAAAAATATATTTTAGATATACAGATCTTCAAACACTAGCTATCTGCAGAATATGGTATTTAAGATGTTTTAATACATAGATTTTTTTTCTTTTTTTATGTCAATGAGACACGTCTGCTCCTGGCAGCACCAATCAACTTCAGAGAAGATGATGGGCATTAAAGAAACTCCATAGGGAGTTTACTTTCTTTGTGTCAAGTTAGCCACTGTGTAAAAAAATACCCTTGCCTTGACTGCTGACAGTATGCTGTTCAAAATGGACAAGCAGGACACAAAAGAAAGGACTGCTGAACTTTGCCAAGACAAAGCAGGACAGCCCTTCAGAAAATCTTGCTTCACAGAGGAGTCTGACAGGTATGCTAAGCCTGTAGGCCAAAGATGAATGCCCCAACATTGCAGAGAAACCTCAGGAGACTGTCCAGGCAGCCAGCTGTTTCTATCATTTCTCACATTTTTTGGAAGTCATCTGTTTGCACTTCCTGCTTACTCAGCTAATATTATTTCCTACTCGGGTCTCTGAGGGAGCTGAAGACTAGATAGTTATAGTTTTCCTTGTTAACAAATTCAGAAAAAAAAAAAACCTCACTAAAGAGGTGTAAAGTGTATAAGTTTGAAAGACATCAAAAGATAGTTTTGGGTTGGTAATACAAGTTAGAATAGAAAGTGAATTAGGTACAACACTTTGGACTCATCAAAATAGGATAGATAATGTATTTTCTCTGAATTTGTCAAATGTTTATGGACTGGACATTGTTAATGTAATTTTTGACTATATATATTGTATATGGCTACTGTACTTATTGTATATAGTTTTTCTTATATTAGTTATAACCTTTTATTATTTTACACAAAAAAGGGGAAATGTAGTGATATTTTGTTGTACTGTAATAAACTTTGCTTGAAGATCAGAGGACAGAGCCAGCCACTAGAATAAATATAGAGGTCAGGCAGTGGTGGCACACACCTTTAACCCCAGTACTTGGGAAGCACACTCGTCACTGATCCCAGCACTAGGAAGGTTGAGATAGGAAGTGAAATGGCTGGGTGGAGAAAGGCATATAAGGCGTGATGAGACAGTAACTTGAGGCCTTTTCGGCTGAGGACTCAGGTATTCAGTGTGAGGATTCACGGAGACAGTATCTTCTCTTTTTGGCTAAGGAGTCGGAGAGGTACAAAGTGGCTGTGGTTTGTTTCCTCTGATCTTTCAGGATTTACCCCAATATCTGGCTCTGGATTTTTATTAGGACTATTTAGGATTTATGCAACACATGGCTTCTGGGGTAAACACTTGCAGTGCAAGTCTGCTGAGAAAGTGAGCTCCAGAACCTCAGACAGAAGTTGACTGACTTCCAAAGGTTCTCTTCTGACTGTCTAATGCACATCATGGCACAAATAAATAATAATCTACTTTTAAAAAGAAACAGAAAAGACCTGGAATGTCAAAACAGTCCAAGCAGAAAAGGGCAATGCTGGAGATAGCAGACCTCTAACTATACTACAGAACCACCACAACAACAAAACAGCACGGAACTGGGACAAAGCCAGATATGTAGGCCAGTGAATAAGAAAGGGAGACTCAGGAATAAACCTACAAAACTATAGCTACCACCTTTGACAGTGATGACAAAAACTTATACTGGGGGAGCTGGAGAGATAGCTCGGCAGTTAAGAGCACTAGCTACTCTTCCAGAGGACTCCGGCTAGAGTCCCAGCTCCCGCATGTTGGCTCACAACCATCTGGAACTCCAGTTCCAGAGTACTGATTCAATGGCCTCTGAGAGCACTGCATGCATGTGGTACACAGACATACAATCAGGCAAAACACGAACTATACATGTAAAATTAAAATCTAAAAAAACAAGTCAAAAATATACCAGCATGTATTAATTAGCCAATAAAAATAAGTTGTAATAAAATTCTGCAGCAATGGGAATATTTCAGACAGTAAGTTGACTATCTTACTACCTAATTGTCATAGATTGATTTTAGCCTTCCACAATGCCTTTTGCTCTTGTTTTTTGTTTGGTTGGCTTCATGTTTTTTTTTTTGGGGGGGGGGTAACTGTAGGATGGGAGTTGAGTGACAGTGACAGGGATCACAAACCCAGGGTTTTATAAATGACAGCCAGCACTTTACCAGGCATATAACCCCAGCCCTCTTGGTCATCTTTAAATTTAAACAGCAGAGAACAAATTCCAGGGATCTGTCTTCAATAAATATGGATAAAAGGAAGGAATGTTGAATGAATAGTAGAAAATAATTCAAAATACTTTAACCCCCCCTTGAGACAGGTGTTAGCATTCAGACCCACTTCTTGAAATCCTGGCCATTAAGCAGATAAATACCCTGGCCCGCCTAGCCTCCTGACGTCATCCTACATTCCCGTTCCCTTTTAGAAAGGACTCCTCACTCTCCTCTCTCATCTCCCCCCCATTATTTCTTTCTTTCCCGCTCCCCTTTTTCTTCCCCCCACCAAATAAAACTCTCCACTGAGCACTGTCTTTGTGGCATCTCTGTCTCTCGCCTGCTGTGGGACAGACACCTTGGCTCCACCCACCAACGCCTCTCTCTCGCTGTATCACAACAGGGTCTTGTTCTACAGTCCAGGTTGGCCAGGAACTTGGCAATCCTGCCTCAGCCTCCTCAGTGCTGGGATTATAAGCATGCACCACCATGAGCAGCTACTTTACATTATTCAAAACCAGTACTATGAGAGATACTTGCAGTAAAGATTATAAGAAAAATGACCAGATTACTTAATAATCATGCTAATTACCTGTATGCTACCATCTCACACTCTGGAGTTGGCCATTTCAAAATAGCTGAATGCTAAAAGACACAAGACATAGGATATATTACAATATTTATTTTTAACAATATTACTTCATAATGAAGCTTTCATATTTAACTATTACAAAATGTAACTTATATCATTCCAGAAAATACCAAATGACCCTACCAAATCATCAAGAAGAGAATTCCTCTGGCTACGGCTCAAGGTCCATGCTTGTTCACCTCTAGATATTAAATGGGCAATAATCCCAGCTGCAAAGTAACTGACTTCTACTTCCACACTGTGCAGGAGACTGCTGATATGGTCTATGAAATCTTTCCACATTAATTCAGAATGCAGCTCTTGTACTTCAGCTATATTGTTCTGGGAGAAAAAGAAGATATAACAGTCTTATGTGAAGGAAATGGCAGAGAGAACTGTTTTTAGACACTAGACAAGCACTACTTCTGGTCTCTACAAAGTATGCAAGCTGGGCATTCTGCAGATTGCAATACAGGTAAGGGGAATTGTGGTCGGTTGAGCAGTAAATGTTCCCCATAGTCTTGGATCCTTGAATACTCAGTCCCAAACTGCTGCTGCTGCTGGGAAGTTTGGAAGTGTGGCCTTGCTGGAGAAGTTTGTCCCTGGGGCGTGCGTACTTAAGGTGCGCCCCTTCTGCATCATGCCTGCATCAAAATGTGAGCTATCGGCTTCTACTCCTGCTGCCACCTTGACACTGGCTGACATCATGGATTCTTTCTTTAAAAAAATGTTTTGACTGTGAGTTCAAGGCTCGCCTAGTCTACAGAGCTAGTTCCAGTACAGCCCAGGCCACACGGAGAAACCCTGCTTTGAAAAACCAAAAAAAAATTTTTCCTTTTGAGATTTTTAGAAATGTGTATGTGGGAGTGTGCACCAGGTGTGTGCAGCGCCTAGGGGCCAGGAGAGGGGCTTCAGATCCCCTGGGGTTGGAGCTGCAGATGGTTGTGATTCTCCACATGGGCAGAGGGGTTTGACACTGGGTCTTCTGGAAGAGTCACCAATACTTTACTTCTTTTTCTTGAGACAGGGTCTCACTATGCCGCCCTGGCTGTCCTGGAACTCTTTCTGTAGACCAGACTGGCCTCAAATTCAGAGATCCACCTGCCCGTGCTTCCTGAGAGCTGAGATTAAAGAATTGCACCACTATACCAGGCTTGTTTTATCTTAATTTAATAATTATATTTGTTTTCCATTGTCACTAGATGTTCAAAAACAACACACCACGATCTTTCTACATTTCTTCTGGTCTTTTTGGGACAAGGTCTCACTACTATGTAGGTTCACCTGCACTACCACAACCAGCTTCCTTCCTTCATTCTTTCTAAGACAAGGTATCATGTAACCTTGGCTATGCTGAAGAGGATACTTTAAACTTCTGATTCTCCTGCTCCCACCCTTCATCTCCCGAGTGCTGAGATTACAGGTGTATGTAAATCTTACTTTTTATTATACTCATGTTTATATTTTCCTTAAACACCCAAATTTATATGATGCAGAGGATGGAAACCAAGGTTCTTTTTTTTTTTTTTTTTTTTTTTTGGTTTTTCGAGACAGGGTTTCTCTGTGTAGCTTTGCGCCTTTCCTGGAACTCACTTGGTAGCCCAGGCTGGCCTCGAACTCACAGAGATCCGCCTGGCTCTGCCTCCCGAGTGCTGGGATTAAAGGCGTGCGCCACCTCCGCCCGGCGGAAACCAAGTTTCATGCATGCTAGACAAGCACTCTATCAACTGACCTACACCCCCATTTATTCATCTATTTCGAATGTGTGTTTGTGTGTGCGTGTATCTCACATGTAGACATCAGAGGACAACTTGCAGGTGAGTTCTTTTCTTCCATCATGTGGGTTCTAGGATCAAGCTCCTATCATCAGGCTCTGCAGCAAGTATCCTCACCAACCCAACAGCCTTGAGGGCCCAAGCAGCAACTTCCAATGTACACACTCAGACAGAAAATAATTATGCCTTGGAATTAAATCAGCAATGATGTATATCTTTTTTTTTTTTGGTTTTTCGAGACAGGGTTTCTCTGTGTAGCTTTGCGCCTTTCCTGGAACTCGCTTTGGAGACCAGGCTGGCCTCGAACTCACAGAGATCCGCCTGGCTCTGCCTCCCGAGTGCTGGGATTAAAGGCGTGCGCCACCACCGCCCGGCACAATGATGTATATCTTACCAAAAGTCCTAGAACTTTTTGTTGAATGGATGACTCGGTTGGGAAAGACTGCACAAAAGAAAAGAACATATAACGATTGAAATAAACAAATAAATGCTCAAAGAAATCAACCACATCCAACTGTTAAGTAAATTTCCATTCTAACCTCTAGAACTCTCATGAAGAGTTCCAGCCCTTGATTTTCAATGAAATGTCTGCATGTTGTTGGGGATTCATCTGTGAGGTTCCAAAGGGCACTCAAAGTAAATTTCAATGTAGTGTCCACTGAATTTTGATTAGTTTTCTGCTTCACTATTTGAAGAAGTTGCTAAAGAAGAAAAAAAGAATTAAGTTTTCATTATTGAATTGTCATAATTTGAGATTACCAATAACCACAAATCCATGAGGACTATTCGCATAGCTTAAAGCATTCCCTGTAAAGGTTCTAAAAAAATGTAAACTATACTTACTTATTTAGTGTGTGTGTGAGGGGGGCATATCCATACCACAGCATGTGTGCAGAGGTCTGAGAACACCTCACAGGAGTTGGTTTTCTTTCCACCCTGTGGGCACTGGGGATGGAACTCATGTGGCCATGGCTGGCAGGAAGCATCTTACTGGCTGAGCCATCTTGCTAGCCCTAGTTTGTTTTGTATTATTTCTTTTTCTTTCTTTCTTTTTCTTTTTCTTTTTTGGTTTTTCAAGACAGGGTTTCTCTGTGTAGTTTTGGTGCCTGTCCTGGATCTCACTTGGTAGCCCAGGCTGGCCTTGAACTCATAGAGATGAGCCTGGCTCTGCCTCTGGAGTGCTGGGATTTAAGGCATGCGCCACCATCGCCTTGTATTATTTCTTGAGACAATCTTGCTATGCAGCTCAGGGCTAGTCACCTTGACACAAGCTACAGTCACTCTGGAAGAGGAACTCTCAAATGAGAAAATACCTCCTTAAGATTGTAGGCAATTCTGTAGTGTATTTCCTTGATTAGTGATTGCTGTGGAAGGGCCCAGCCCACTGTGGACGGTGCCCTTTCTGAACAGGTAGTCCTAGGGATGTATCAGAAAGCATTCCTCCATGGTCTCTTCTTCCTCCATTAGGTCCCAGGGACTGGACTCAAGTCATCAGACTTGGTGGCAGTTGCCTTTACAGTGACTCATCTCACTGGTTTTAAACCAGCTATCTTAATTAGTCATATCATTATAATAAACCTGAGACTTAAGAAAAGGAGGAGGGGGTGAAGTGAGACAAAACTAGTATTTATTAACTTACACTAAATGATACCTATATATAGGGATGTAAATTGGATCTAAGAAATATTAAATAATTTGGTCATAATCAACGTGATAAAAGAATTAGATTCTAACAAATTTCAGGTTTTCTCTCAGGAAGAAAGGAAAAGGCTGGCAGGGTAGCTTACACCTGTAACACCGGGACTTGGGCGGCTGTGCCAGGAGGGCTGTCACGACTTCAAGTCCTCCTAGGCTACACACATGGTGGTAAGAGAACTAAAGTTTACACTAGGTATCACTATGTCTACTGTAACTAGCCTAAGAAATGCAGTTTGAGCCGGGCGGTGATGATGAATACATACCTTTAGTCCCGGCTCTCGGGCGGGAGTAACATGCACCAGGCTCTGGGCTCAACCTCAAGAACAACAAACTTAGCTATTTTCATCATTACTGTTAACTCTGCTCACACAGCATGTATCAAGTACACCACTTTCTTAAATCTTCTCACGTACTTTCAGCCAGAATTACTGAGATATCTATATAGCCCTCCACCTCTTTGAGAGAGGGTCTCATTAAGTAGCCCTGGTTAGCCTAGAATTCACAACGCAGACCAGTCTGGCCTTGAATTTACAGAGAGATCCACCTGCCTCAATATCTCAAGTGCTAGGATTAAAGGCATGTGTCACCATGCCTGGTTCTAAAATATGGCCCTTTTTACTTTTATTTACAAAAACATTTATTTTTATTTTATGTGTATATATGTGTGCCTGAGTGTATATATGTGTACCACATGTGAACAGCTGCTCATGAAAGCCAGGAAAGCACTGAATCCCCTGGAAGTGAAGTTGCAGGTAATTTCCACTCAATGTGGGTGCTGTGAACCAAACCCAGGTCCTCTGCCAGAGCAGCAAGTGCTCTTAACTCCTGAGTCCAGGACTGACTATTAGTTCACAGCTATTTGCATCTGTCAAGGACTAAAGTTACTTCAAATTAAAAAAAAAAAGATACATTTGGGCCTGGAGAGATGGCTCAGTGATTAGAGAGCATTTGCAGAGAACTCCCAGCACCTACACGGTAGCTCACAACGACCTTTAACTCCAGTTTCAGGGTATCTGTCATCTTCTTCTGACCTCTGCAGGCACTAGGCATGCACATGGTATACATAAATATATGCAGGCAAAAGACTCATACACATAAAAAGGAAATAAATAAATGTATAAAATGGAAAAGCATACATTTGGGGTCAGGAATACAGCTCAGTGGTGAAACATGTGCCTGGCATATGTAAGCTATCTACAATCCCTAAGTCTACAACTGATCGAACATCAAAACAAAACAAAACAACACAATTAAATACATTCACTTAGAAAAGTGAACTAATTTAAAAAATAGCGGCTGGGACAGGGGTTTCTGTGGTAGAAAGCTGACTGAGCGTGTGTGAAGCCCTGGCCTAGATCCCCAGGAACACATATACCTACACTCATACATACTCACAGAAGATATACCACACTATTGTCTGTCTATACTCCAGTCCCATGGGATCCAATTCACTCTTCTGGCCTCCACAGAGTGAACAGACATACATGGAAGCAAAGCACCCAAACGCATAAAATAAATACTTAACCAAACAAATATAAAACCAAAACACCATGTAGTGCCCTAAAAAGAGGGAAAATAAACTTACCCGGACTATGAAGAGCTCAGCACCCAGCTGTGCAGTTTGTTCTGTAGAAAGCTGGAAGCAAATGTAAGATAAAGTGAGTGTCCAATTATTAGTAGGCATATGTTCACTGTAATTCACCATAACGGCCTCCATAGCCAGATGGAAATAGCCCCTTAGCTTCCAATTCTGCAATACTTAACACAATTCAACAAGCAGGCTAGCGAAGGGGTGCACTAACTTTTCTGGCACACAAATGAAGGGGCAGTAGTAACTGTAATGAGAAACAACTGCCTTTGGGAAACCATTAGTTCAGGTACCTTGGCAGCCAGGATGGAAATGATAGCAACTGCCATTCTTTGCATGTTTTGGTCTTCGTGGTTGCAAAGCCACTGCATGACAAGCTTGGCTGCTTCAAACCTGAAAACACAAGAGGGTTTCCTCAATCTTGGAGATCCAGGCAGGATTTCAGGGAGCCAGGTGAGGGCTGATGCTACAACTTCGTGTGTGGGAAGGGAAGGAAGCTTTCTCTTAATGAGAGAGAATAACAAATTACCATTAGTGTTTTCAAAATGTTGCCTTTTTGGTTTCTTTTCTGTGCTGGGGACTGGACTCAGGACCTCATCTAGGCAAAGGCTCTACCACAGAGATATATCCCCAGCCCTTTATCTTTTTTATTTATCTATAGTGTCTATTCTTTTTATTTCCCTTACTGGTAGTGTGTGTGTATTTGTCTATGATGTGCATGGATGTGAATGCATGCTATGGTATGTATGTGGCCCTCAGAGGACAACTTGTGAGAAGCAGTCCTTTCCTTCCACCGTGGGTTCTAGAGTCTGAACTCAGGTGGTCAGGCTTTTGTGGAAAGTGCTTTTACCAGCTGAGCCATCTTGCCAGCCCTCATTTATGTCTTTTTTTTTTTTTTTTAAGATTTATTTATTACATATACAATGTTCTGCCTGCATGTGTCTTTGCATGCCAGATGAGGGCACCAGATGTCATTACAGATGGTTGTGAGCCACCACGTGGTTGCTGGGAATTGAACTCAGGACCTCTGGAAGAGCAATCAGTGCTCTTAACCCCTGAGCCATCTCTCCAGCCCCTCATTTATGTCTTTTTGAAATAGGGTCTCATGTAGCTCAGGCTGTTCTCAGACTCTATGTTGCCAAGGATGACCTTGAACTGCTGATCTTCCTGCCTCTACCTTCCATGTGCTGGGATTACTGGCATGTGCCACCATACCTGGTTCTTTGTTTTTATTTTGAGACAGTCTGAATAAGTTGCCAGACAGGCTTTGAACTTCTGATTCTTCTCCTGGGATTATAGGCCTGTACCACTGTGCTCATCAAAATGGTAGCGATGGTAGAGAAACAGGAGCATAGGGGCCGAGGAGAGAGCTCAGATGGGAACGTGCCTGCTGGGCAAGCAGAGGGCCTGAGCTGAATCCTCAGCAATCATGTAAAAGAGGTCGGCATGGCAACGCATACCTGTAATCTTAACTCTGGGGAGGCAGAGACAGGAGGATCCCTGGGACTTGATGCCAGCCAGTCTAGCCCACTCCATGAACTCCAGGTTCAGTGAGAGCCCCTGTCTCAAAAAAATAAGGTAAGGAGCAATTGAGGAAGACACTCAATGTCAACCTCTGGTTTTCACACTGATACATGTGAACACTGTGCACACACATTATCAACAACAACACACACACACACACACACACACACACACACACACACACACACACAATAATGTAGAAACATAGTCAAAACTGGCATTTTATCTTCTACAATAAAAACACTTTAGTATTTCAACATCACAGCTTTAAGCATATTCTTTGTTAAAAACTTTGAAAAGTTATTTATATGTGAATGTGTGCACTCATGCATGTTCTCACACAGCATGCACATGGAGGTCAGAGGACAACTTGAGGGAGTCACCTTTCTCCTTCTACCATGTGGGTCTTGGGGACTGAACTCATGTTGTCAACCTATTACTTGCCTGTTAAATGGAACATCTTGAAGAATCCGGTCACTGCAAAGTGAGAGGAGGCAATTCTTCTGTAACTAAAGGATAAAAGCGAGAGGGAGAGAGAAAAAAAAACTGAAAAGAACATCATTCTGTTATCTTTTATCCAAAGACAGTCTTTTAAAAATTATGTTTAAATGTGTATAAGGAGGGTGCGGACATGCTGAGTGCTGGAGACGGAACCCAGAGTTCATGAATGCAAGGCAAACACTCACTAAGCTCCAGTTACTTATACAACCAGCTCCAGTTACTGTTTTTAAATCTTGAAAAACACACAATTTTTGTTCTTGATTTGAGATAGATTTCTCAATAACGTAGCTCTGGCTGTCCAGGAACTTGCTATGTAGGCTTGACCGGCCTTGAATTACCAAAGATCAACCTGCCTCTGCTTCCCAAGTGCTAGGATTAAAGGTGTGTACCACCACACCTAACCAAAATTATGTTCTTTAAGCTAATTCTTTTTTTTAAATAATTTATTTATTTTTATTTTATGTGCATTGGTGCTTTGTCTGTGTGTATGTCTGTGTGAGGATCCCCTGGTTCCCTGGAACTGGAGTTACAGAGAGTAATGAGCTGCCATATGGGTGCTGGGAATTGAACCCGGGTCCTTTGGAAGAGCAGTCAGTGCTCTTAACCGCTAAGCCATCTCTCCAACCCCTAAGCTAATTCTTTATAAATGCTATCAAGAATAAATTGTTTTAGGAAAACATTATACTTTTAAACATGGGAATTCAATTCAGGTGTTATATCAGTACATTAAACCATGATCTTCGAAAATCCTTTGACTTTAAAAAGTATTTGTTTTTATTTTGTGCGTGTTTTGCCTGTGTATATGTGTGCCTAATGTCTACAGAGGCTAGAAGATAGCAATGGATCCCGGGAAGGTTGTGAGCCTCCATTCTGAAACTGGGAACCAAACCTGGATCTTCTGTAAGAGCAAGTCTTGTCCACTAAGTCAGCTCTCCAGCCCTCAACCCATCCCCATCCTGTTTTTGTTTGTTTTCAGACATGGTCTCATGCAGCCCAGGCTGGTCTCTAACTTACTATGTAGCTGAGGATGACTGAACTTTTAATCTTCCTGCTTTCACCTCTGAAGTGCTGGGATTACAGGCAAGGAAGTGTATGCCATACTCCCAGGAAGGAGCCTGGGCTTTGTATATTCAAGGCAAGCACTCTCTCAACTGAGCTATATTCTTAGGGTCTGGTATTTACATCTCTCGGGATGCTTTCCTAGTTTTCAATTGTACTAACTGCCTCTCCAGCCCCCAGCTGAAATGTCTGGGAGCAGAAAAATCAGATTTCAGAGATTTTAGTGTAAGGCAAGATTTCCAGTGTAAGGCTAGATTTTAATGAGCCGGTTATGTTGGAGCCATTATCTTGAAAAATGGTTAGGAAAAGCAGTGAACTAGACAGGCCACTCTAAGGGCAAGCAGCTCCTGACCAGGGTGTAGGAAGAACAAGCATTAAGATTTGGGAACACTGGCATGGACTTTACCAGTTGAGCAGACCAAATATGAAAATTCAAAATCTGAAAGGCCCAAGTGAGTTCCAGGAAAGGCGCAAAGCTACACAGAGAAACCCTGTCTCGAAAAACCAAAAAAAAAAAAAAAAAAAAAAATCTGAAAGGCCCTGAAATAGGAAGCTCTCTGAGTATCGAACAGGCATCAAAAGTTTTGTTTTTCAGTCTCCAATTTTGGATTTTGACATGAGGGCTCTTAAGATGACTTGTTTCTTAGTACTTTGCTATGCTATGCTAAATTATGAGGGTTTTTTGTCTGAACCGCAGACCTCATCATAGGGGCACATACTCTAAACTGAATAAAGAAAGAGACACTAAACTGGACTAATGGCTTAAGCTGGTAACAGACAAAAGCATCACTTGATCTGATCGATGGCTTCCCTCTGCAAAACACCGTAAGCAAACAGAGAAGAGGACATTTGTTACATTCTTCAAATTCTGACAAGCTGTAATTTTGACTTTTGTGGCTCTAGCCTCAAATATGCAAATACTTAAGAATTTTCTATACTGCCATTCACCAAATTTGGCTATCACTGGCTTAATCCTACACTGCCCTTCCTGCATTCTGGTCACAAGCAACTTGCCCTCCCTGAAATGGTTTGTACATTCCCGTATAGGTCCAACTGCTTTTCTTATCCATTTTAAAAGATTTATTTATTTATTACGTATACAGTGTTCTGTCTGCATGTATCCTGCAGGCTAGAAGAGGACACCAGATCTCATTACAGATGGTTTTGAGCCACCATGTGGTTGCTGGGAATTGAACTCAGGACCTCTGGAAGTGCTCTTAACCTCCAGCCCTCTTATCCATTTTTCAAGATGCGGCTCCATCACCTGCTCTTTGAGTCTTCCTGTCCCTTCTTGTCCATACACTATGTACCTGACAGCGCTACTCATTTCCCTCAAGTTCCTATGACATTTAGTTCAAATAGCTGAAGAAAATGTTCATAATAGCATCCAGTAGCTGCAACTTTTCCTTCTGTGAGGTGTTTCTTTATTTTGACAGGAGCCAGAGTCTTGCTAGGTTGAGCAGGATTGCTTGTAACTCCTGGGCTTAAGAGATCCTCCTTCTTCAACCTCTCCAGTAGCTGGGATTACAGATACATAACAACATGCCTATCTAAATATTAAGTATTTTTTTCAGATTTATTTATTTATATAACATCTATGTGTGTGTGTGCCTGAGTATACATGTGTACCATGGACATGTAATGCCTGCCCAGACCAGAAGAGGACTCTGATTCCCCCTGAAGCTGGAGTTCTAGGTGATTGCTGGCTGTTTGTAGGTGTTGGGAACTCATCTGGGTCCTCTGAAAGAGTAGCAAGTGTTCTTAACCACTGAGCAATCTTTCCAGCCCCATAAATTAAGCAACATTTAAATGTTCTATTTTAAAACAATTTACTTATTTGTGGTGTGTATGTGTGGTTTGATGTGTACGAGCATGTGGAGGCCAGAGGTCTATACTGTAATCTTCCACTATTATTCTTTATCTTATTTGAGACAAAATCTCTTACTGTGATAGTTAATCTCAACTGTCAATTTGATGCGACTTAGTGATGGGCCTCTGAGGGGTTATCTTGATTAGGTTAACTGAGTTAAGACTCACCCACTGTGGATGGCACCATTTCCTAAACTAGGATCCTGAAGTGTACAAAAGGAAAAGGTGTGCTCAATACTAGAAAGCACCCCCATTTGACTACTGATGCAATGCTGCCAGCAATCCTCCTGTCCCACTGCTATGATACCCCACAACAGAGGACTGTAACCTCAAACTATAAGCCAAAGTAAACGCTTCCTTCAGTTGACCTCAGCAGAATATTTGATCACAGACTGGAAAAGTAACTAATATACTTACTGAACCTGGAGCTAAAGTCACCTAGACCAGCTGGCCAAAGATCCGCCAGGATCTGCCTGCCTCTGCCCTCCAGTGCTGGAGTCACACAGCTCCCACACCCAGCTCTTACATGGTGCTGGGGATCTGAACTCAGGTCCTCACGATTGTGCAGCAAGCACTCTACTCAGTCTCTTAACTCCCTACGTGTTATTAAATAAATAGAGAAAATATTTACAAAATACATGTATTATAAGGCAGTACCTCTGAATCTTTAATGGACAGACACCAGCCGCCTAAGGAATATTTTGGAGGGGAATGATCAGTGACAGGTCTCATATTTCCCAGACTGGCTTGAGCTCACTACACATTCAAGGATGACCATGGATCCCTGGTCTTCCAGCTTCACCTCCTAAGTGCTTAGATTACACGAATTTACCACATTTGGCCTGCACAAACTATGTATTTAAAAGCCTTTAACTTGGAAAAAAATTTTATTTTATGTATTCATCTGTGTGTGGGTGGGGTGGCGGACCAGGGGACAACTTGTGGGAGTCAGAATCTTCCTCAATGTGGGTCCTGGGGGTTGAACTCAGGCTGTCAAGCCTTGGTGGCAACTTCCTTAGCTGCTAGGCTCTATCATCAGTCTTTTTTTCCCACTTAAGTTTGTGTGTGTGTGTGTGTGTGTGTGTGTGTGTTCCTGAAGGAGCACACATGATGCCAGGGCACATGGTCATGTGTGAAGGTCAGAGGAAAACTCACAGGAGTCAGTAATCTCTTGTCACCTTGCAGGATTTAGGGATCAAATTATTGTCATTAGTCCTTAGTGCAAGTGCCTCTACCCACTGAACCACTTCTCAGCCCAATAACTTCAAAAACAACATGTATTTCTTTTTCTTTTTTTGGTTTTTGGAGACAGGGTTTCTCTGTGTAGGCCTGGCTGTCCTGGAACTCACTCTGTAGACCAGGCTAGCCTCAAACTCAAAGATCTGCCTGCCTCTGGCTTCCAAGCACTGGGACTAAAAGTGTGCGCCACTATCACCTGGCTTATGTATTTCTACCTTTAAATAACATTGGATAAAAATGGTATGGTGCACAGGCCTGCCTGTGATCCTAGCACTGAGAAAAGGCAGAAAGATTATAAATTCAAGGTCAACCTGGCTATATAATTATGCCCCTTCTCAACAGAAATACTAATAATTAACATACTGGTTAACTCTGAGTTTTTCAAGTGAGTACATGAAATCACATATGTAGCCTTCTGCAGACTGATCTAGGCTGTGGTCTATAGTTGCAACTGATACTTCCTGCTAAAAGACTACAGTTCCCAGCTTCCCTTGCAGACTACAGAAGTCACTCTGCATCTTCCTCTGTAGGCATTTTGGCCAACTGCACATTTGGGTAACAAAATGCTCCCTTGCTATAAATAAACAAGTCCCACCTAGGGCCAGATCAGGTCTCTCTTTCCACCTTCGTTTTTTAATAATCTAACAGTAACTGAGTCATCATTCGCTACTGTGTTTTTGTGTTTGTTTTCTTACAGGGTCTTTCTACTGTAGCCCTGGCTGTCCTGGAATTTGCTCTGTAGATCAAGCTGGCCTTGAACTCAGAGATCTGCCTGCCTCTGCCTCCTAAGTGCTAGGATCACTGGGATTAAAGATATCATCAGCTACCAGGCAGTGGTGTCGCACACTTTTGACCTCAGCACTTAGAAGGCAGAGGCAGACAGATCTGTGAGTTTGAGGCCAGCCTGGTCTACAGAGTGAGTTCCAGGACAGCCAGGGCTGTTACACAAAGAAACCATTTCTTGAAAAACCAAAATTAAAAAAAAAAAGAAAAAAAAAAAAAAGCCCCCGAGAAGCCACTCACTGCTGTTTTTAGTATTCTGTTTTTTTTTTTTGGGGGGGGGGTTGGTTCCCGAGACAGGGTTTCTCTGTGTAGCTTTGCGCCTTTCCTGACCAGGCTGGCCCCGAACTCACAGAGATCCGCCTGCCTCTGCCTCCCAAGTGCTGGGATTAAAGGCGTGCGCCACCACTGCCCGGGTACATAGTATTCGTACAGATTTTTTTTTTTTTTTTTTTTTTTTTTTTAGGTTTTTCGAGACAGGGTTTCTCTGTGTAGCTTTGCGCCTTTCCTGGAACTCACTCTGTAGCCCAGGCTGGTCGTACAGATTTTTAACTATATGAGATTTATTAAGATATAATTCACATAGCATACAATTCCTGTTATGTGTGGTTTTGAGTGTATGCACAGAGTTGCACACCTATTGCCACAGTTCGTTTTAATACAGTTTCTTTCTTTCTTTCTTTTTTTTTTTTTTTAAACAGTGTCCTATAATCCAGTTTGGGCCTCAAACTTGCTATGCAGGTGAACATGACCTTGAACTCCTGCTCCTCCTGCTCCCACACCCTGAGCTCTGAATTACAGCATGCACCAGCATACCCAGTTTTAATCAGTGCTGGGGATTAAACCCAGGGCTCTGTGTGTCCTAGGCAAACATTCTACCGATTTTTACCATGTTTTCCTATCTCCAAAAGAAATCTAGCTGAGGATGCAGCTAGCTTAGTGATAGAGTGTTGGCCTAACACTGTCAAGGCCCTGGGTTTGAGTCCTAGCATTAAAAAAAAAAAATCCCACATCCATTATCTATTACAATCACTCTCCATTTTTCCCACCCTTACTTCCTAACTGAATTTTTCCCCTCAGTTTTCCTTTGTTAATTACACCAATACATTTTTGGTTCTGTTTTTTGTTTTTGTTTTCTCTATGTAGCCCTGGCTGCCCTGGAACTTACTGTGTAGACCAGGCTATCCTCAGACTTAGAGATCACCAACCTCTGCCTCCCAAATGCTATGATTAAAGGTACATACCACCATGCCTGGAACACCAATAAGTTTTAATTCTGGGCATGGTGATACACGCCTAATCTCTGGACTTTGAAAATGGATTTGGGGGTGATGGGGGGGGGATCAGGAGTTCAAGAACAGCTTGGCTACAAAAGGTCTTGCTTCAAAAGAACAAAACAACAACAGACAAGAAGGCTTGCTTTATTAAAGTGAACTGCAGGGAAGCAGGAATCGTAAAAGACGACTCTAAGAATACTCGAGTGGGAATAAGTGAGTGCTTACCTGCTGGTGATTAGGAAAATGTTCCATGGCCTTGAGCAGTAAATGGGTCACATCAGCGAGGAGCCGGACAGGCATGCCTAAAGCAAGGTCCTGCTTAGTTAGGTTAAACACACAGGCACTAGCAGCCAGCTGCACAGGCAAATTCATAGGATGGTTCCTCATACCAGTAACCACAAGCTGAAACAAAACAAAACAAACATTTAGTCCTCTTAATTCACATCATAAATACAAACCCTCTTCATATAGTGAGGTTGCTTTGTTGCCCTAGAATAACTTCAAAGATATGTTCATATTCAGAGAGCCTAGGCCATTATTATTCTTAATTCCCAAACTTCCCTTCCAGTTAGAATGCAATAAAAACCACCCTCTCCCCAGACTATACAACTGTTCTTCACTTCTTTCCCTTCTAAAGTCCCCCCATTCTTCAATGCAGCTGAAAATTTAGCTTTCTTTAAAATTTATTTTATTATTTACTTATGTGTGTATGTGTGTACATATGTGTGTATGTGCCACAGAGGCCAGAAGAGGGTGCTGGATCCCTCAGAACTGAAGTTACAGGCAGTTGTGGCCTACCTGCTGTGGGTGCTAGGAAATAAACCCCGGAGGTTCTCTGTACAGCAACAAGTGCTCTCAACCACTGAGCCCTCTCTCCAGCTCTGGCAAAACCTAGCTTTCAACCACACGAAGAAAACTGAAGTAACCAGAAAAGAACTTCAGATTCTGACTCCCTGTGTGCTCTCCTTACCGGGATATAGAAATACATGTCACCTTGCCAAACCATAATGATCTTTTGCAATCCTCTCTAAAGCTGATCCCTCCATGGGTATGCCAGATCATTTCCTTGTCTGTCTACTCAAGGAAATGATGACTTCTACATAATTTTTAAAATTATGGATTGAAAAGATCAGCATATTTTAAAAGTTATTCATTCATAAATAATGGGAGGGGGCACTGCACTTGCCTGTAATTCCAGTAATGGGAGGCTAAGGCAGGAAGATTGTAAATTTGAGGCCACACTGGATCTCATAGCAAGATCCTGTGTAAAATAACAAAACCCTCCTTTAATCCTATTTCCTTAATCAACTGCCATTTTTCCCCTTTGCTCTCTTTTACAGCAAAACTCCTTGTGTGAATGGGCTTTAATCTTTAATCTCTAAATAAATGAATTTTTCAAATCAGGGCTAGAGATCTAGTTCTTTGTGCTCAATTTTATAGCAACCAAAACTGGAGCTGGGCAATGGTGGCACATACCTTTAATCCCAGCACTCAGAAGGCAGAGGCAGGTGGATTTCTGAGTTCGAGGCCAGCCTGGTCCACAGAGTGAGTTCCAGGACAGCCAGGGCTACACAGTGAGACTCTGTCTGGAGAAAGAAAGGAAAGAAAGAAAGGAAAGGAGAAAGGAAGGGAGAGGGGGAGGGAGGGAGGGAGGGAGGGAGGGAGGAAGGGAGGGAGGGAGGGAGGGAGGGAGAGGGGGAGAGGGGGAGAGGGGGAGAAGGGGAGAGAGGGAGAAGGGGAGAGAGGGAGAGAGGGAGAGAGGGAGAGAGGGAGAGAGGGAGAGAGGGAGAGGGAGAGAAAAGTGCTGGCACTAAAAGTATGTGATTCCAAGTGCTGGAGTTAAAGGTATGTGCCACCACTGCCTGGCTCTGTTCTCTTTTAGACTGGATTAATCTCCTGTAGCCCAGTGTGGCCTTGAACTCACAGAGATCCAGACAGATCTCTGCCTCTGGCTATAATTAAAGGTGTGTGACACCACTGCTTGACCTCTATGGCTAACTCTGTGGCTCTCTCTGTCTTCTCATCTTCAGGCAAGCTTTTTTTCCTAGATTACAAACAATACATCCCCACAAAAGAAACCAACACTGGAAGTGTGTGTGGGGGTAGGGGGGGAGACAAACCAAGTACCAGCATCTACTGGTTTGTATGAAGAGACTGACAGGCATTAGTGACAATAATAAAATGTTATAGTTCCTACCCAAGCAGCCCATTAAAAAATTTAAGATACTTAGTTCAGCTCTGCCACTGACTTAACGTCATAGGCCCAAGTTTCACAGTCTATAAAATGGAAGATAAATCCACTTCTTCAGATTGTGCCCACTAAATGAAGTATGAAATAAAGTCTTACACTCACTAGATTTCAAAACTGAATGTGCATGAGAATTATCTTGGTCTAAGTAAGATACAGATCCCTGAAGCCCATGTAGCCTTATCAAATCTAAATTTCTTGTGTTCATAAATCTGTTGGTTATTATTTACGGATGTTTATGTTAGAGGTCAAATGCAAGTTCTCTACCACTAAGCTATACATTGGGTGTAGCAAATATGCTCTTCTAACCACCCTCCATCTCTCTTGAGACAAGGTCTCAACTACACAGCCCTAGCCAGGGTAGAACTTACTCTGTAGACCAGGCTGGCAGCAAACTCAGAGATCTGCTTGCCTCTGCCTTAAAAATGCTGGGGTTAATGGCACACACCCATACCTAACTTTACATTTTATGAAGACAAGGTCTCCTTACTTTTCTTTTTAGTTTTTAGATTTATTTTACTTGTATGTGTATGGATGTTTAGCTTGCATGCATGGATGTGCACCACATGCATGCTTGTTGGATTACCTGGAACTATAGCTATGAATAGCTGTAAGTCATTATATGGGTGCTAGGAATCAAACCTGGGTCTTCTGCAAGAGCAACAAGTACTCTTAACTGCTGAGCCATCTCCTCAGCCCCAAAGCTCTCCTTATGAAACCTAGGTTGTTCTCAAACTTGCTATGCAGCTCACATGGGCTTGAACTTGTAACCCTTCTGCCTCAGCCTCCTGAATGCTAGAGTTACGGCCTAATTCCACCATGTTCAACTGATCATACCTGTGTGTGTGTGTGTGTGTGTGTGTGTGTGTGTGTGTGTGTGTGTGTACACATACTGGGGAATAACCATTATGGTCATGCATCTTAAGCAAATCCTCTACTACTGAGCGATATCCCCCATTCCTCACTTTGTATATTTTTATTTTGAAATAAAGTCTTGCTATCTAACCTACGCTGGCCCTGAACTCACTCTGTAATGCAGGTCAAACATGAACTTGCGTCTGCCTCTGGGTAGCTGGGATTACAGGCCTGTACCACCAGGCTCAGTTAAATATTTATGTTTGTTTATTAATTTGGAGGCAAAGGACAACTTGGTCTACGAAGTGAGTTATAGGACAGCCGGAGTTACATGGAGAACCTGTCTCAAAGAAAAAGGACCCCTCCCCCAAAAGAATTTCCTTTCTTGAGTGGGGATGTAGCTTAGTTGTTAAGCACTTATCTAATATATGGAAGGCCTTGGATTTAATCTCAGTACAACAGAAAAATGAACAAAGAAATCTTTCTCAGCTTTCAAAAACATCTTAATTGGTTAACAGCATGGGTCTGTTACAAAAGTACAGGATATTTATAAATGGGATGGAAAAATACCTTACAACTTTTTTTTTCATTTGTGTGTGTGTGTGTGTGTGTGTGTGTGTGTGTGTGTATACATCTCTGGAAGTCAGAGGACATCTTTTGGCAGTCAGTTCTCTCTTTCTACAATGGGGGTTCTGGGAACTGAACTCATGTCCTCAAGCTTAGCAGCACGCTCCTTTACCTGTGGGACCATCTCACTGCTCCCCGCTACAGCATTCCTAAGAACTGAACCCAGGGTCATGAATGCATGAGACGACAGGACTCTTAACAGTGGGTTACACATCCAGATTTATATCAATGAACTTTTTTTTTTTTTTGAGACAAAGTCTCACTGTGTAGCTCTGGCTGACCTGAAACTCACTATTTATACCAGACTGGCCTTAAATTCGAAAAGATCCATCAGCCTCTGCCTCCTGAGTGTTTAAAGGGTATGTGTCATTGTACCTAGCTTAATGGACATTTTTTCCTTAGACAGGGTCTCACAACTCACTGTGTAGTCAAGGATGCCCTTGAACTTCTGATTCGCCTTGTCCCCGTCTCCCAAGTACTGGGACTACAGGCATGTCCCACCATGCCCAGTTTATACAGTGTTAGAGATTAAAACCATGGGCTCATGCATCCTAGGCAAGCCTCTACCAACTGATCTACATCCCTAGCCCTACTTTATGGAAATCTTTATTTTGGAGATGTGTGTAGTATGTGTGTGAGTGATGTTATGTGCACATGTGTGTAGATAACAGAGGACACTGGTTGTCCTGCTGTGTGAACCTCCACCTTCTTAGGTTAAAATGGGGCCAGCAAGCCCTAGTAATTCTCCTGTCTCCACCTGCCCCTAGCACAGGGGTTACAAGCATACAAAGCTATACTGACTTTTTAGAAAAATGTGATGCTAGGATTTGAACTGGGTTCTTCATGCTCGCCCACTAAAGACTCTTTTCCAATGAGCTATCTTCCTAGTCATATTTTACAGAATTCTAATACTGTATTTCTAAAACGCTTCTGAGTGGGGATATAAGGCTGACACACAATGCAGTATACTGAATCCATTCCTACACTTCCATTTTCCTGTAATAAAACGTCTCAGGGTTACTGGTCTGAACTAATTAAATAGCACTGTAAAGCATTTAAATTACTTAATGAGACTACTATAAACTTCTGTAATGATACGCAATTAACTTCTTCCCCCCCCCCCCCCCCCCCCCCCCCGCAATTAACTTCTTATTTTTAACTAATAACTGGAACTGGGATCATCAACCCCAATTAAAAATAAAAAAGAAATAAAAGTCAAAACTAAATACACAAAATCTACTAGAAAAGTTATTTCAAATATCACCACTTTCTTGTTCTTACCTTTAAGATTTCTGGCTTTGTTTTTTCCATCACATGAGTCAGGCTAAAAAGATGAAACAAAGCTTCCCGGACAAAAAATGCCCTTTCGCTGTACCGCCTTAACGCTTCTGCAATTTGAGTTTCATTGGCTTCTCCAGATACCTTTGAACAGCCAAAAGACAAGTGTTTAGAATTCGTTTAACCCTCTACCTTTCTCCATCTTAACATCAGCTGTAAAGATGACATTCAGCATAACTAAGGCTTGAAGCAAATGGGAATGATTACTTTCTAACTATCATCCTCCAGAGACGCATAATGAACTAAGAACCCAGGACAAGCCTGTAGATAATATTTTCTACACAGCACCTAGAATAAACCTCAAGACATTTCACACTTCACCAAGCCTTGCTGTCTCACTGAGGCTTTTTTAAAAATATTTATTTATTTATTATATATACAGTGTTCTATCTGCATGTATGTCTGCAGGCCAGAAGAGGATACCATATCTCATTATAGATGGTTGTGAGACACCATGTGGTTGCTGGGAATTGAACTCATGACCTCTGGAAGAGCAGCCAGTGCTCTTAACCGCTGAGCCATTTCTTCAGCCCTCACTGAGGCTTTTTTTTGGTTTTTTTTTTTTGTTTGTTTGTTTGTTTTTTCAAGATAGTATTTCTCTGTGTAGCCCTGGCCTCACTGTCCTAGATCTAGCTCTGTAGACCAGGCTGGCCTTGAACTCACAGATTTCCGCCTGCCTCTGCCTCCCAAGTGCTAGGATTAAAGGCATGTATCACCACTGACATTACACAGAGCCCAAAGAGCACAACAAGGGTCTTGCCAAAGGGATCAAACCTTAATTTAACTAAACTCCAAACCCAGCTAGTGATTTGCTCACTGAGGCTTTTAAGCTGCCTCTTAGGGCAAACATTCCCTTAAATCATAATGTTATCAGGATTGCTGGCCTTTTCTAAGATCTTTCAAAAAGCCACGCTCCATCTCAGCAAAAGGTCATCACATACAATGTCCACTCTAAAATTTTCTCTCTTTGCTTAACTAATTTGTACTTACCCTTCCTAAGTCAAGCCCAAAAGCCTTCCTGACACACCAATCTAAGTCAGGTTACCTCCAAATTTTTTTCCTAGTTATCATGGTCCTCCCACTTTACTGACCCATGTACCACTCAACTGAGTATGTCAACAGTGACTAGCATTATGCATGGCTCAGAAGAACATTTATTATGTATTCATCAAATAAACCTGTTAATTTCCCCAGATGGATCAATCTCTATAAAAGAGTTTATTCAAAATTGAACCTAACTTAATTTACAAACGTTAATATACTTATGTTAAACTGCGGTTCAGGGACCACTGTGCAAACAAACAGATAATGAGAAATATCTATAAAGTAATCAGACTGGCAAGTGAAAAGTGATGACTGAGGTACAGGGCTGGTGAGACGGCTCAGTGGGTGAAGGAGCTTGCCATGCAAGCCTGGTGACCCGAGTTTGATCCCTGAAACCCAAGTAAAGGTTGAAAGAGAATCAATCTGACAAAGGTGTACTCTGACATCTACAAACTCGTCAGTGTACATGCACACACGCACATGTATCATGCATTACAGACACACATACAATGACTAAGACATCACAATGATCTCCAACGAATGATCAGCTCCAGGGACCATACAATCTCCAATGAATTACTAATCTGATACTGAATACCAACAGCTGCTGGTGTTACAGGGAGAGAAGACTAGACATTACACAGAGCCCAAAGAGCACAACAAGGGTCTTGCCAAAGGGATCAAACCTTAATTTAACTAAACTCCAAACCCAGCTAGTGATTTGCAGAAAATATAGGAATAGTGGTTCAAAACTTAATCACAGCATTTAGGAGGTTGAGGCAGGAGAATTCTAAGTTCAAGGCCAGCCTGGACTACACAGTAAGTACTAGGCCAGCATGAGACACAGTAAGATCCTATCCCAACTCCTAACCCCAAAAAAAGACAGAAAGAAATATGGACCATGAACATGTATAGCCAAAAAATTTCTAACATTCTACTCTCAGGAGAACTCTAAAAGTCAAGAGGACTGTAGACCAGTTTTTGTTTTGTTTGTGACAATCTCACTATGTATCCTTGGCTGGCCAAGAACTCTCTGTGTAGACAGGCTGGCTGTGAACACATCGTGATCCACCTGCTTCTGCCTTCCAAGTGCTGGGATGAAGAGCATGCACCACTATGCCAGGCCAGTAGACATGCTTAAAGGGAAAGACAAGGAAGGGCGGGCTTATGCGACAGAGCATTAGATAAAGGTACCTGCTATCAAGCATGAAAACCTGAATTTAGTTCCTGGGACCCACACAGAAGAACTGACTCCTCCAAGTTGTCCTGTGACCGCCATGTATATTATGGCATAATACATAAATGTAATCATTTTTTAATTAATAAAAAAAAAAGAAAGAAGAGGGTTTCTAAGGGTCTGGTACATGCCTTTAAGCCCAGTAATGAGGAGGCATAGGCAGGAGGATCTTTGAGTTCAAGGCCAGCCTGGTCTACACAGTGAGTTCCGGGAGAATCAGGGTCTCAAAAACAATAAAGGGGTGTGGGAAGACGTACACAAGAGTACATGCCTTTAAGTCCAGAACGTGGGAGGCAGGTGCATCTCTAGAAGTTTGAGGCCAGCCAGGGCTACATAGTGAGATCTTGTCTCAAACCAAAAAAAAAAAAAAAAAAAAAGGGGGGGGGGCAGAGCTGGAGAGATGGATTAGTGGTTATGAGTACTTATTTTTGTAGACTACCTGGTTTGATTCCCAGCACCACACATAAAATTTAAAAATCTAAAAAATAAAAATGAATGGGAAGGGAAGGGAGGAACCTATAAACTACAAGATGCTGTGAAGACACTCCAGGGATGGAGCACTGCCTCAGCGGTTAAAAGAACATATTGTGTCAGGTGTGATGGCACAGGCCGTTGATCCCAGCATTTGGGAGGCAGGCGGATCTCAGTGAATCTGAGGCCAGCCTGGTCTACAGGGCGACTTCCAGGACAGCCAGGTCAGTTACACAGAAAAACTCTGTCTCAAACAACAACAAAAAAAAAGCAGGGGGGGGGGGGGAGAGTATATTGCTCTTGCAGAAGACTGGAGTTTTGATTCCCATCATCATACTGGGCAGCTGGAAACTGTATGGAATTCCAGTCCCAAGAGATCTGATCTCCCTATATCTCCAGCCCCATGGGGAAATCCAGCTCCTTTAGCTTCCACAGACACACACACACACACACACAGACACACACACACACACAGACACACACACACACACACACACACACAATAAACGATAAAATTAATGTTTATTTTTCTTTCTTTTTTGTTTTTCAAGACAAGGTTTCTCTGTGTAGCCCTGGCTGTCCTGGAACTCACTCTGTAGACCAGGCTAGCCTCTGCCTCCTGAGTGTTTGAATTAAAGGTGTGTATCACTATGCCCTGACTAAAATAAATCTTAAAAAAGACATTCCAAAAAAGTTTTTTTTAACCCTTTTTTTTTTTGAGGGTATGTATGCGTGGCACATGTGTAGAGGTTAGAGGGCAATTTGAAGGAGTCAGCCTGATGATCTGAGGTCAATCCTGTACATCAACATGATGTAGAAGATAAATGACACCTGATGACTTCCACACATGTGCAGCAAGCATGCACATCCCTCCCAATAAATGAATGTAATAAAAAATTAAGATATTAAAAAAATACAAAATAAAATACATAAACAAAACTAAAATAAAAGAATAATTGCAGGGCTGGAGAGATGAGTCAGCAGTTAAGAGCACTGGATGCTCTTCCAGAGACCTGCGTTCAAACCCCAGCACCTACATGGTGGCTCACAACTGTCTGTAACTCCAGTTCTAGGAGATCCAATACCCTTATACAGGTATACATGCAGGCAAATCACAAATGCATATGAAATAAAAATAAATAAATCATAAAAAATTTTTTTAAAAAGAATAATTGCTTCTCAGACTTTTAGGCAAAAGTAATTACAGAAACAAAATAAGTCACAAATTTGCAGGGCTGGGACTGAAGAGCTGGCTCAGAGGTTAAGAGCACTGGCTGCTCTTCCAGAGGTCCTGAGTTCAATTCCCAGCAACCACATGGTGGCTCACAACCATCTGTAATGAGACTTGGCGCCCTCTTCTGGCCTGCAGGGACACATGCAGACAGAACACTGTATACATAATGAATAATTACAAATCTTTAAAAAAAAAGTTGCAGGCCTATGGCATGGAACATTTTAACAGCAGAAGCCTTAAAAAATGAGGGAAAACACAGTAAGAGAAAACAAGCAGCAAAACAAGGAAGAAAAAACAAACAAGGTGAGTGTGATATCCTAGAAGCTAAGTTTAAAAAAGCTGAAGTATTACAAGGAGGAAGGCAGCGTACTGTGCCAAATACCACTCTGGGTCAAATAGGTGAAGTCGGAGAATCAACACTGGATTTAGTAGATGTCAAGAGCCATTTTGGGAGTGAGGCGGCCAACAAATTTAAGATTGTGAAGTGCAAGACTGAGGAAACTTAATGGTGACAAAACCATAGGAGGAATTCTGGGGTCAGAAGACCAGCTGCAGTGGAATTGAAAACAGCAGAAAAGCCAAACCAAGACCTCCTTCAGTAGAGGTTGTAGGTGTAGTGGAAGCACACAAACTTTAGATTCAGACTGTCCAAGGCACAGACAGGATCTACGATCAGCGGGATGTTACCCTAGAAAAACCCTATCTGGGACTGGGAGACGGCTCTGCAGTTAAGAGCACAGGCTGCTGCTCTCCTAGAGGACTTCAGTCTAATTCCCAACACCCACATCACAGCTCGAAACTATGGAATTTCTGTCCCAAGAGATCTGACAGCCTCCTCAGGCACACAAATGGTACATATACATCCAGGCAACTCATGTGTACACACAAATAAACTAAAATAAAAAGAACGTCTTTTGGGATAGGGGTATGGTGGCATACACCTTTAATCCCAGCACTCTAGAGATAAAGACAGAAAGAAGGATCACTGTGAATTCGAGGTCAGCCCCCTCCACATAGTGAGTTCCAGGCCAGACAGGGCTACACAGTGATGAATCTACAAACAAACAAAAACACAAGAAAAGAAAAAAAAAATTTTAAATTAGGTGTGGTGGCTCACGTCTGTAATCCCAGCACCAGGAATCTGAGGCAGGAGGACTATGGAGACACAAAAATAAGTAATGCTGGGCTGGAGAGATGGCTCAGAGGTTAAGAGCACTGGCTGTTCTTCCAGAGGTCCCAAGTTCAATTCCCAGCAACCACATGGTGGCTCTCAACCATCAATGATGAAATTTGGTGCCCTCTTCCGGCGTACAGGCATATTGTATATATAATAAATAAATCTTAAAAAAAAAAAAGTAATGCTTATGAAGTGCAATAAACACATCTCATATTCCTAGAAACACCTGCCCCATAGAAATACTGGGAAATTAGCCAGGCAGTGGTGGCGCACGCCTTCAATCCCAGCACTTGGGTGGCAGAGGCAGGTGGATCTTTGTGAGTTCGAGGCCAGCCTGGTCTACAGAGTGAGATCCAGGAAAGGCGCAAAGCTACACAGAGAAACCCTGTCTGGAAAAAAAAAATATACTGGGAAATTATAATGGCTGTTTCTTACATCCATTACTGTGGTCTTATAAACAGGCACATAAAGCTAAGCTAAGAACCAACCTAAACTCATCACAATACTGAGATAACCATTTCAGACAAGATGTTTATCAATTACACTAAATTGGATAAATCTTCTTTTTTTTTTTTTAAAAGACAATTTCTCTGTGTAGCCCTGACTGTCCTGATCACTCTGTAGACCAGACTAGCCTGGAACTCACAAAGATCCACCTGCCTCTGCCTCCTGAGTGCTAGACTAAAGGTGTGCGCCACCACTGACCAGATAAATTGGATAATTCTAATAAGAGACAGGCAATCTCAGCTCTCTTCATTCAACCTGTCTTATTTTTGAGCTGTCAAATCAGCAGTCAAAGAAACTTCAACCTTTGTACATATTTGAATAAAAAAAGTTCTAATGATCCTTTGTTTTGAGTCAGGTCCTTGCTATGTAGACTTGACTCACCTGATCCTTGCTATGTAGCCTAGGCTGGCCTCAAACCTTGCCTTGGTTTCCTATTCTACAATTATAAAAATAAAGTACCACGCCTCATTTTAAAAAATTTTTAAATTATTTACTTATTTATGTGTATGATTTTATCTGCATGTGTGCCTAATGCCTGTGAATGCCTGAAGACATCAGATCCTCTGGGACTAGTTACAGATGGTTGTGAGCTGCCATGTGGGTGAACTGGGGGTTGAACCCATGCCAGGTCCTCTGGAAGTATAGCCAGTGCTCTTAACTGCTGAGCCATCTCCAGACCAAATATTTTAAAACATCATCGTTATTGTTGCTGTTATCATTACTATTTTTTGAGACAGGGTCTCACTAAGTAGTCCTGGCTGGCCTAGAACTCTGTATGTAGACCAGACTTGCCTCAAACTATTATTTGAGACGGTTTCACTAAATAGTCCTGGCTGGCCAAGAACTCTGTATGTAGACCAGGCTGGCCTCAAATTCAGAAATCTGCCTGCCTCTGCCTCCAAAGTACTGGGATTAGAGCTAAGCACTCTACCCCATGAACTCCATCCCCATGCCCACTGGACTTTTGAGACAGGGTGTTACTATGTAGCCCTTGCTGCTTGAAACACACAGAAATCCACCTTCCTCTGCCTTCTTGAGTGCTTAGATTAAAAGCATTCACTATGCTTGGCCCCACTGAACTTTTATTTGGGACTATTACCCTAATGCCAGCCTTTCTACTATACAATGATTTTCCATGCCTTCTTTCATATATTAGACAGCTATCCTAACGAAGTCTTGTGGAACTAAAAAAATCGACCAGTCAGACAAAATACATTTTTAAGAGCTAACCTTCAAGTGTCCTTTGCCCGTAAGGAATTCGGAATAACCAGCATCTGTGGCCAGCAAACCTACAAACTGCATGCTGGGCCGCTGCTGTATAAAGGCTTCAACAGCTTTATCTGTCACATGCTTTCTCCCTGAAACATCCAGGGAGACAAGATTGGGCAAGATGTCCTTTTGCTCTAATAATCGAAGGGCTATGTCTGATGTAAACTGCTTATCATCTGAGATGTCAAGATGATTCAGATGTTTTAGTTCCCGAACAACATCCAGGATCTGGGTAGTAGTCATTTTTAAACATTTCAAATGGTGCATGGTGAGAGACTTGAGTCTGTCTTTGCAGGCCAGGAGGGCAGTGATATCTGTGATTGAGGTGTTAGAAATATCCAGGCTCTCCAGTCTAGGCAATGAAGCAACTTCAGCCAGATCTTCATTGTAAAAGAGCACATTAGTGATACTCAGAGCTCGAAGACCAGAAAGCCGGCTGAAACACCGCTCATAAGGATCCTCGAGGGACAGAGTTAATGAGTTTAGTACTAAGCACTGAAGATTTTGCTGGATCCACTTGTTACTGCCAAGGCCACTTATGATGTCTGTGATAGTGATGTCGGCATTCACACCCGTGGCATCAAGTTCTACTAACTTATGGTGGCAGAAGGCTTTCCGGAAAGCAACAGCGGAAATCTTTGCTTTTCGAATGCAAGCACGCTTTAGCCGCATCTGGTTACCCCTGAAAATTCCCACAGTTCCATCATTCAGCAGACCTGGGGAAAAATAAGCAGTATTTTAACTTCAAAACAAAAACAAAAACAAGAACAAACAAACAAAAAAACAGTCAAAGAATAGCAAATATTTCCATCTTAGTTTAAATTTCTTTTCTTTTTCTTTTTCTTTTCTAAAGATTTATTTATTTATTTATTATACATAGTGTTCTGTCTGTATGTGTCCTTGCAGGCCAGAAGAGGGCACCAGATCTCATTACAGGTGGTTGTGAGCCACCATGTGATTGCTGGGAATTGAACTCAGGACCTCTGGAAGAGCAGTCAGTGTTCTTAACCACTGAGCCATCTCTCCAGCCCTTATTTTAAATTTCTAACATACATGCTGCTGCATTTCACTTGATACAATTCTCTGAGATGATGATATTATTACTTAGACTGAGACTCAAAAGGGGACTTTCCAAGATTATGGAGTTGGTACAGACAGAGATTCACCAGCACTCGGCTGTCTTCACCCAACCAAGTGGATATACACAGCAAGAGATACACAAGCAGCTGCGCTTCCCAGCACTTCCTTACAACAGACAGGACCACATGCCAGACACAGTCAAGGGGCTGTGGCTTAAGCACCTGAGAGTCAATTGTGATTCCCCATGCTCTCTTCTCCTTTCGAGACAAAGGAGAAGGCTTCACATTCTAGAGATGTAGTATTCTGAGGACTGAGTCTCTATCAATCTGGATACTAAAGTGACCAAGGAAGAGAATCTTCAGTGGACCTTGCAGAGTTTATGTATGAATAAGGTTTAAACTTTATACTAATATATTGATACCAATATATTTCTAGAGTATCTTTTAAGTTCACAATACATTATTACATATACAAACATACACACAATATATTTAGTAGACATAATAGCTAGATTTCATTTTTAAACCATTAGCCAGAATTGGCTGTGATGGTACACACCTTTTATTCCTGCACTCAGGAGGCAGAGGCAGGCAGATCTCTGAGTTCAAGGCTAGCCTGATTTACACAGTCAGCACTACATAGAGACCCTGCCTCAAAACAAACAAACAAAAAAACCTACTAGCCAGATTTGAAATCTTTTTATTTTGGTTTAGTTTTTTGTTGTTGTTGTTGTTGTTTTGTAGACAGGTTTTTCTGTTTAACAGCCCTGGCTGTCTTGGAACTTGATTTGTAGACCAAGCTGCCCTCAAACTCACAGAGACTGCCTGTTCCTGCTTCTCCAGTGCTGGGATTAAAGGTGTGTGCCACCACACCCTGTTTGGCTTTGTTTTTCAATTTTTAAAAATTGTATGTATTTATTCATGTGTGTGCACGTCTGCTCAAGGCACGGCAGGAGTGTGGACGTCAGAGGACAACTGTGTGGAGTTAGTTCTTTCCTTCTATGTGGATCTCCAGACTAGAACAGAACTCAGGTCTCAGGCTTGGCAGTAATGCTATTTATCCAGTGAGCCACATTACCTGCCTCTGGTGTTGTGTTTGTTTTTAAGACATGGTCTCACCCTGCATCTCTGACTGGCCTCAAACTTGTAGCCAGTGCTTGAAATCTTACTGAAAAGACATAACATCTGGGCATGGTAGTACACACTTGTGATCCCCGCACTGGAGAGACTGAGGCAAGGACATCACTGTGAGTTCACTACTTAGTTAAACCCTCTGCCTCAAACTCACACAGAGACACTAAAAGGAGAATAAGGTTTTTCCCTAAAGAAAGAGGGAAAAACAAACAAACCAAGAAATTATAGGGCAAATGTGAATAAAACGAGTAGAGTAAAAGCCTCTTAGAAATGATCTATCATGCTGGGCAGTGGTGGCACACGGCTTTAATCCCTGCACTTGAGAGACAGAGGCAGTCGGATCTCTGAGTTTGAGGCCAGCCTGGTCTAAGAGAGAGTTTCAGGACAGCCAGGGCTACACAGAGAAACCCTGCCTCAAAAACAAAAAACAAAAAAAGGAAAGGATCTACCAGACAATAGTGCTACAAGAATATGACACTTTGGAGCCTTACCTCAAAATATTACATACCAAACAATACCTACTAAGAAAGAACATAACAGCCATACCTATAAAATGTACTCTAAGAACAGTCTGTGGCTGTAAGCATTTGGGGCAAGATAAATACATACTATGGGGTTAAAAGAAGAATTTTTATGGTCATATCAGCTAGTCCATACTAATGATGCCATTCAAGCTGCCAGATAGCCATTATCAAATCAGAACCAAGGCATTTTTGTCTGAGAGCTGTTGCTAAGGGGTAGAGAGCACTTTACCCAGCATGTTCAAAGCTTAATTATTGTTAGACATTTAAAAGTCTGCCGGGCGGTGGTGGTGCACGCCTTTAATCCCAGCACTCCGGAGGCAGAGGCAGGCGGATCTCTGTGAGTTCGAGGCCAGCCTGGTCTACAGCGCGAGATCCAGGAAAGGCGCAAAGCTACACAGAGAAACCCTGTCTCGAAAAAAACCAAAAAAAAAAAAAAAAAAAAAAAAGTCTTCATGTGCTACACAGAGAAACCCTGTCTGGAAAAACTAAAAAAGTCTTCATGAAACTTGTTATGTTGAACAAAAACTGAGTCAAGAGAGCACAGGGAATAGCTCAGCAAAAAACACTGGATACCAAGAATTGCAGTAACGCAGCCCCCCCCCCCTTTTTTTTAAGCTAATGTTCTACCACTAAACAGCAACCTAGTCCCTTGTACATTGGCTTTTATTGGAGTGACATATAAGGCCTTTTTCGGGGTTTTGAGCAGAACAGCCATAGGGTTCATGTGTATTTTTAACTGTATGTATGTATGTGCATGTGTGCATGTGTGTGTGTGTGTGTGCATACCTGTGCGATGGCATGTGTCTGATGTATACTTTTGAAGGTCTGATGTATTGTCTTTTTTTTTTTTTTTTTTTTTGGTTTCTCAAGACAGGGTTTCTCTGTGTAGCTTTGTGCCTTTCCTGGAACTCACTCTGTAGCCCAGGCTGGCCTCGAACTCCCAGAGATCTGCCTGCCTCTGCCTCCCGAGTGCTGGGATTAAAGGCATGCGCCTCCACCACCGCCCAGCAGCCCTTTCTTAACAATGCACCTTGCAACCTGCTGGCAACCTGGGAACCCTCCACACACCTGCACTGAACTACATATACACCTGCTTTAACAATGAAAACTAGTTACTCTTCTTAGCAATCCCGAGATATCACCTGTTTCTATTCAAATGTTGTGAAATGTATCAGGTATCTGGGCCAATTCAGCCTGGACAGGTTGTAGGTATATAACCATCAGGGCAAATTGTGTACTAGCCGGGTGGTGGTGGCACACATCTTTAATCCCAGCACTCGGAAGGCAGAGGCAGGCGGATCTCTGTGAGTTCGAGGCCGGCCTGGGCTACAGAGTGAGTTCCAGGAAAGGCACAAAGCTACACAGAGAAACCCTGTCTCAAAAAAAATTGTGTACTCTGAGACCTTTGTTGTTGTTGTTTGTTTGTTTTTTGAGACAGGGCTTCCCTCTGTTACCACTCCAGCTGTCCCGTATCTCTGCAGACCAGGCTAGCCTCGAACTCACAGAGATCACTCTACCTCTACCCCCTGAATGCTGGGATCAAAGGTGTGTGCCACCACTGCTGGGCACTCTGAGAGTTCTTTTAGAGAGAATCCCCCATTTACTATTTTATGCTTAGGCATAATTGGGCATACATATGATTTATATCAGTTGCATCATGGTAAGGGATGTGTAGTAGAGAAAAGGCAGTACAACCCAAACCTGTCAATCAAACAGAGAACCACCCTCACTAACATCTCCTATAAGCAGCTCCTCCTTCCACGAAACTCCATAAAATAAAGCCCCAAACAATAACCAATACCTTTCAGTACTCTCCCACTCAGGTGGTCCTGTCTCTCTTGGTAGTATATCCAAAACCTGAACTTTTGTTTTGTTATAATGAATCTTACTGATTTACTTTTTGTGTGTATATCTTTTCCAAGTTATGTGGACGAGGTACCACAAATTGGGGGAAAAAAATGCTAGGGCTAGAAAGACGGCTCAGTGGATTAAGAGCACTTGCTCTTGCAGAGGACCTGGGTTCAATAACCAAGCACCCACATGATGGCTCACAACTATCTGTAACTCCAGATTCAGGGAAGTCAACATCCTCCTCTGGTCTCTGTAGGTGACCAGGCATGTAAGTGATGTACAGCAACAGCAAAGCTGGGTGGTGGTGGCACATGCCTTTAATCCCAGCACTTGGGAGGCAGAGGCAGGCAGTTCAAGGCCAGCCTGGTCTACCGAGTGAGTGCCAGGACAGCCAGGGCTACACAGAGAAACCCTGTCTCCAAAACCCAAAAACCAAAAACAAACAAATTTTAAAAACCAGCAATAGGAAAGAAACTAATATAACACAAAATTGAATTTTTTTTTTGAGATAGGTTTTCATGTAGTCCAGACTGAACTCAAACTCACTCTGTAGCTAAGGATGACCTTGAACTCCTGATTCTCTTGCCCCAGTGTCCGAAGTGTTGGTATTATAGGCACGTGCCAATATACATAGCGTTTATTTTATTTTATTTTTTGGATGTGTATGCATACCACATTGCACATGTGGAGTTCAGAAGACAACCTGTAGAATTCAAGTTTTTCCTTTCAGCACATGGATCTGTGGGACTGAACTAGGTCATCAGGCAGCAGGAACCTTTGCCCACTACGCTATCTCACGGGCCCATCACACCTGGCTTTTTAAAATGAATTTTTAGACTGAACATGCTAAACATGATCACTGAGAAATGCTGGTATTACATAATCTCTTAAATTGTTGCACAGCACTGTGAGTGATTTACTTTTTGGTTTTTTTTTTTTTTTTTTGAGACAGGGTTTCTCTGTGTAGCTTTGCTCCTTTCCTGGAACTCACAGAGATCTGCCTGCCTCTGCCTCCCGAGTGCTGGGATTAAAGGCGTGCGCAACCACCGCCCAGCAAGTGACTTACTTTTAATAGCTATAGTACTTATTGATAGTTATTCTAGTTCCTGGGTCAGAATGAAATCAGCAATTCAGTGAAAACAAACAAATATAGAGATACTTCTTTTCTAAATTATACCAAATAACTCAATTGTAGCTCCATTTTCCTTATTCTTCTTTGGAACGCGTAATTTGCATGCACACCTAACAATATTTTTCTTTTTTTCCTCTTACATTTAATATGGGTGGGGGTGGGAGAAAACACGCGGAGGCCAGAGGAGGTTTTCAAGTGTCCTCCTCTGTTGTTCTTAGTCCTCTTCCTTTGAGACAGGGTCTCTTACTGAACCTGGAGCTAATGGTTCTTCTAGTTATCTATTTTTAGTCAGGGTGGCAACAGTGATCTTCTTGTCTTCATCCCTTACCAACACCGGTGTAGCCACACCTAGCTTCTCACCTGAACCTAGGGATCCTAACTAAGTCGTTATGTTGAAGTACTTTACCCACTGAGACACTTCCAGCATCCCAATTCATTCTCTCTCTCTCTCTCTCTCTCTCTCTCTCTCTGTCTCTGTCTCTCTCTCTCTCTCTCTCTCTCTCTCTCACACACACACACACACACACACACACACACACACACACACACACACACACACACGAGGCAGAGGCAGGCGGATCTCTCGAGTTGGAGGCCAGCTTGGTCTACAGAGTGAGTTCCAGGACAGCCAGGGCTACACAGAGAAACCCTGTCTCAAAACAACAACAGAAAAGAGTCAAGAGCAGAAAGCAGTTTTTTCATAATCGTATGATTTTCCCACTGTCAAGAGAAGACGTAAAGTATTTCTATACCTGTTGACTTCTACATAGAAATACTGTAGTTAGAGAAGTTCCTTGTGTTGTAAGAATCACTTTTAGGTCTTGGAGAGATGGCTAATGGTTAAGAGCATTTACTATTCCTATAGAGGGCCAGTGTTCAGATCCCAGCATCCACATAATGGTTCACAACCATCCCTAACTCCAGTTCCAAGGGACCTGACACCCTCTTCTGATCTCCATGGGCACCAGGAATGCACATGATACATATACATACATGCAGGCAAAACACTCATTCAGATAAAATAAATAAAGCAAAATGTGTGTGTGTGTGTGTGTGTTTGCGTGTGTCTACTTTAAAGAACTGCTTCTTTTTGGGGGGCACGGGGGAGGGGATGCATTTCAAGACAGGGTTTCTCTGTGTAGTTTTGGTGCCTGTCCTGGAACTCACTCTGTAGACCAGGCTGATCTCGAACTCACAGAGATCCGCCTGGCTCTGCCTCCCGAGTGCTGGGATTAAAGGCATGTGCCACCGCCATCCAGCAAGAATTGCTTCTTAAATCAAAAAAGAAAAATGGTTTGCCTAAATTGGAAAGGAAAAAAAAAATTATTAAATCTGAGGCAAAAACAGGAATTCCTTTTCCTAGAAACAGGTTCATCTGACTTTTTCTACTACGTCGACTATTTCTAAGAAAATAATTAAATGGGCCATAGCAGTACTTTAAAATCCAATGCCAATTTTAACAGCACACAATTTGTCTCTTCCATCTTTCATCATTTACCATGAACTGCCATGGTCTGAAGCAGTCGATCAGCCACCTCCTGTGGAAATACTCCAGGTTCCTGAAGACACAATGTTCCATCTTGTCGTGCTGAACAGAACTTCTCAAGGTTAGTGGTCAGGAAACTCAAGCAGATGTCAAGTAAGGAATAGGGAGATGCTTCCTCCTTGGAACACAGGAAGGAACATAAAGGGAATACACACACAAAAATGAACAAATTAGTTTCCAGAAGAGCAGAGAATCACTTATTTTCTCATTCAGTAACTACTGCCTATGAGACAGACAACGAATACAGTGACAGCACCAGATGCCATGTTAGGCAGTGGGATACAGTCTGTAATGTGCATCTCAGAAGCAAGAGAACAGAAGTCCTGAAACAAATCTCCACACAGTCCCTTAAGTAGTACAAGGGAGGACACACCGGGGACTGTGTAAACACACAGCAGGTTCTAAGTCAAAAGCAGATAGGGAAGGCCTCAGAGGAAGAGCAGACTAGTCTTCCTAAGTTATCACTTGATACCCTAAAGACAGCTATTCTTTTTTCTTTTTCTTTTCAGACAGTTTCACACTTACCTCTAGCCGGACTGGAACTCAATACATAGACCAGGCTGGCCTGGAAATCACAGAGATCCACCTGCTCCTTCCTCTGGAGTACTAAGATTAAAGGTGAGCACCACCAGTGCAGCCACAAAGACGAAATTCTTCAACTGTGACTTTCCTATCTGAATCCTTCTGTGTGGCTAGTCTTATGTCCACGTAACACACACACTAGAGTTATCTGAATGGACAGAGCCTTAGTAGAGAGACATAGATGGAAAAGGTTTATTTATCTCTCAATTCCAAATTCAGTACATCACACAAGGTCAATCAAGGTGTCAGGAGCTTAAAACAACTGCTCATATCTCATTACATTCAAGAGCAGAGAGATGAATCATATATATTTGGTGCTAAGCTACCCTTCTCTACTCTTACACAGCCCAGGCCCCAAAGCCAGAGAACTGTGCCACCCACTTTCAGATTGAGTCTTCCCACATCTACTAAGGCAACCAAGATAGTCCCCCAAAGAAAGCCCACAGGCCAACCTGATGCAGACAATCTGTCCCTGAAATTCTTCCCAGGTGATTTTAGATTGTGTCAAGCTGACAATCAAATTAACCATCACATCTCCCTTCTCCATCAAATAAGTATTTTTATAGTCTTCCCTTTCACTGGGAGTGTGGGTCCTTTAGAGTTTCTGGCTTTATTTAGTCTCAGTGTTAATTCTTTTTTTTTTTTTTTTTTTTTTTGGTTTTTCGAGACAGGGTTTCTCTGTGTAGCTTTGCGCCTTTCCTGGATCTCGCGCTGTAGACCAGGCTGGCCTCGAACTCACAGAGATCCGCCTGGCTCTGCCTCCCGAGTGCTGGGATTAAAGGCGTGCGCCACCACCGCCCGGCTTAATTCTTATGAATCAAGTTTAAGTTCAAGATCTACTTCAAAGGTTCCAGCATCAAAAGACAATAACGAAGCCGGGCGGTGGTGGCGCACGCCTTTAATCCCAGCACTCGGGAGGCAGAGCCAGGCGGATCTCTATGAGTTCGAGGCCAGCCTGGGCTATCAAGTGAGTTCCAGGAAAAGGCGCAAAGCTACACAGAGAAACCCTGTCTCGAAAAAAACCAAAAAAAAAAAAAAAAAAAAAAAAAAAAAAAAAAAAAAGACAATAACGAATAAGTAAAACTTGAAAAATGAAGTCTCAGGCTAGAGGGACGATGGCTCAGCAGTGAAGCCCTGGCTTCTGCTGCAGAGGACCCAGGTTCCTTTCCTAGCACCCACAGCATGGCCCACATCCTGCAACTTCTAGGGGATGCAGGGCCCCCTTCTGACCTCCGTGGACACGAGGCATACATGTAGACAAAACACACACATAAAAAGAAACATTAAGGGGCTGGAGGGATGGCCTAGAGGTTAAGAGCACTGGTTGCTCTTCCAGAGGTCCTGAGTTCAATTCCCAGCGCCCACATGGAGGCTCACAACCATCTGTAGTGAGATCTGGCGCCCTCTTCCTGCAGGCATACATGCAGGCAGAATACTGTATACATAATAAATAAATAAATCTTAAAAAAAAAAAAAAAAAAAAAAAAAAGAAACATTAAAAAAATCCTCAGAAAGTAAATAAGCCAGGCATGGTGGCACACGCCCTTGATCCCAGCCTGCATTTCATTTTTAAAAACAAACTAGCCTGGAACTCTACGCAGCCCAAGTTGGTGTCAAACTATCTTCCTCCATCAGTTTCCCGAGCCCTAAGATTGATTATAGGTGGATAATCTATAATCTGGCTATGAAATGCATTTTTACTAATATCTTTTTGAAGGATTGAGTAATATATTGGATTTTAATCCAGTTGTCTGGATTAAAACACCATTTACAAAACTATGTAAACTTATAAGGTAAAGGACGTAGTCTTCCTGTACTTCAGTCTATGATCTAAAAAAATGCAGATAACAGGACCTACCTCATGGAACTGCTGTCAAAAATAACTACACTCTAAATGCAGAACTCTTGAAGTAGTGCCCAGCATGTACTAACTGCTGAGTTAGTGCTTATTATAGAATGTAAGTTCCACCAGGAAAAAAATGTTTTGTTCACTGATACAGTCATAAGCCTAAAATAACACCTACTACATCATAACAACAAACGTGGATTAAACAGCGAATCGTCAAGCACAAATTCACTGTTAGGTGTCCTTCACTCCTAGAGAAAGAGATGACATACCCAGAGATATTAAGTTACAAGTTAGAAGCACACACATACCCATTTTGACTTCCTACCACCATACTTCATGAGAAAGCACCTACTGGTTTATGGATTTTTGTTTCTTTTGCAGTGTCAGGGGTTGTACAAGTACAGCGTCACTGAGCTACAGCCGCCCCCCTCATTATTTTCTACCAATAATTCCACCAAGTCAGATTTCTAGAAGCATCTGAGACTATCAAATCTTCCACTCTACCCCTTTCTGACAACATCTTACAAATGACGAAGTCAATAGTCTCAAGGACACAGGTGATATCCTCGAGAATACAGATATCAGGGGCTGAAGAGATGGTTCCTCAGTTAAGAGCACTGGCTGCTCTTCCAAGGGACCCAGGTTCAATTCCTAGCATCCACATGGCAGTTCACACCTGTCTGTAACGCCAGTTCTGGGAATCCGACACCCTCACATAGACATGCACATTTTAAAAAAGAATGCAGATGTTATGAACAACTGGACTATGGGTTTATGCTTGTGTTTTGTGCTAGGGCTCAACCCCAAGGTCTTTTGCTTGCTTGTTTTTGAGATAGAGTCTCACACCCCAGGCTGGAGGAGAATTCAAAGAGAGCCCTGCCTCTGCCTGTCTGAGTGCTGGGATTAAAGGCATGTGCCACCATAACTGGCTCACACCCAGGGTCTTGTCTATGCTACTCAAGTGCTCTACTGCTAAGCTATATCCTGAGCTGCTTTACTAAAAGAAATCACTACTCTTCAGAAACTCCTAGATTAAACATTTAAAAGCAGATAAAGCAAGTTTTCTGCATGCATCACTTAAAAACCTAGCCAATATGGCAAGTAGCTATGTGCTAAAGAGCAAGGAGGTAGAGTTCTAGCTAAAAAAGATCAAGGTCTCAAATGGTAATCAATCCCTCCCTGCCTCCTCCTTAGCTCATGTAATAAAGCTATTCTAAGAAACAAAAATTCAGGTCAGTAATCACTGAGCACTTATGGATTATACTGATGAGCAACACAGAGATATCTTAGCATTATTTCCCTTTTGGCCGAAAGCTTGAGTTTTGAAATACAATATAGTTCACAGATACAGGTTTAATAATGTAAAGAGCAGTTATGGGCTTAGAGTCTCCTGGTTTTGCTACTTAATAGCTATGTGGTCTAAGGAAAAGCAATTAATTTCTCAGTTTCCTTATCTGAAAAAGTGAAGCTACCTCTATCCTAACTATCTCATATGGTATTAGTACCGAGTAGATGGGATTTGTGTGAAAACCAGATATAAAATACTAAAGTAAGAGAGGCATGATGGCACACACCTGTAATCCTAGCAATGGCAAGGTCAGACAGAAAGATTGAAAATTCAAGGCCACCCTGGGCAATACAGCAGGTTCAAAGCCATCTAAAGCTACATAGTGAGTGTAAGTCTCAAAATCACCCAACCACCATGGTCTATGTAGCACCATGGTGCTACATAGGCCCTGGATTCAATTCTGAGCACCGCAAATAAAATAAAATAAAATAAAATAAAATGCTACAATATTTGAGCTGAGGATAGAGCTCAGTGGTAAAGCATTTGTCTAGCATTCACAAGGTCCTGGGTTTGATCCTCAGCATTGCAAAAATCCAGCCAAACAACCTAGACCCTTAAGTTATTAGCAAATATAAACACCAGTGAAATAAGAGTCCTTGGTATGAAAAGTTAGTTAATACATTCTTCAAAGCTAAGAAGTCAAGTTTATGAAAAATTTAAACTCTTTTACAGTAATTACCTTTAATTTTAAAATCTTACTACCCTTTCTTTAAGAAACAGGAGAGCCAGGTTTAGTAGTACACACATGTAGTCTCAGCACTTGTAAGGTAGGGACAGAATGAGCAGGAGTTCAAGGCCAGCATGGGTTATATGAGACTCTAACTCATAAACCAATAAAAAATATATATTTCGAGGGAGGGTTTCTCTGTGTAGCCCTTGGTGTCCTGGAACTCTTTCTGTAGACCAGGCTGGCCTTAAACTCACAGAGGTTCCCTCTGCCTCTGCCTCCCAAGTTGCTGGGATTAAAAGCATGTGCCATCACCACCCAGCTAAAAAAATTTTTTTAAAGCAACCAAAAATTGAATAAACCTAGGAAAGGCTAGTAATCTAATACATGACTTTTGCAAGAACTTTGTTTAATGAATAAAAGATTTTAGTAAATTCATCTGTTGTTGTTCTGTGGTCCTGAGGAATCTGACCCTGTGTCTTGCACGTGCTGAGAAGTGCTCTAAGACTAAGGTACACTTCACACCCTCTGGTTTTTTTCAGATGGGGCTCACTATGTAGCCCAGACTGGCCTCAAACTCAAGATCCTCTTGTACCTTCCAAATATTGGGATTACAGGTGTGTATACTGTTTTAATAATCTCATAAATCCCCAATAGCAGTTTATATGAAAC